AAGCTTTCAATCACCATAGATGGGGAAAACAAGATGTTCCATGAAAAAACACATTTAAACAATATTTATCCACAAATGCAGCCCTACAGAAGTTAGCTACCTTCACAGAAACAGAGGTAATATATAGGTCCCACACCAGCAAATCCCTAAGAAGATAAATTCACACACAAGATCACCACCAACAAAAACAAAAATAACAGGAACTAGCAATCACTGGTCATTATTATCCCTTAATATAAATCGACTCAATTCACCTATAAAAAGAAAGAGGCTAACAGATTGGATACAAAAACAGAATCCATCCTTCTTCTGCATACAAGAAACACACTTCAACTACAAATAAATTACCTCAGAGTAAATAAAGGGTTGGGAAAAGATTTTCCAATCAAATGGACGTAAGAAACAAGCTGGTGTAGCTATCCTAGTATCTAACAAAATAAACTTCAAACTAAAACTTGTCAAAAGAGATGAAGACAGTCATTTCATATTCATCACATTTATGCCCAAAATACAAGGGTATTCTCATTTGTAAAAGAAACATTACTAAAGCTTAAATCACATATCGAGACCCACACGCTAATAGGGGGAGACTTCAACACCCCACTCTCACCAATGGACAGGTCTGCCAGACAGAAACTTAACAGAGAAATAAAGGAACTAGCAGATTTTATGACTCAAATGGGCTTAGCAGACATCTATAGAACATTTCACCCAAACACTTCATAGATCCTTTTCTAAAATCGACCATATACTTTAATGGATACAAAAAATTGGAATAACCAACTGCATCTTATTGGATCATCATAGCTTAAAGTTAGAATTCATCAGCAAGACTAGTTGCAGAAAGCCCACAAACTCATGGAAATTGAGCAATGCTCAACTGAATCATCACTGGGTCAAGGAAGAAATAAAGAAAGAAATTAAAGAATTCCCAGAATTCAATGAAAATGGCCTCATGACATACCCAAACTTATGGGACACAATGAAAGCAGTGCTAAGTGCCCACATAAAGACACTGGAAAAATCCCACACTATCGAATTAACAGAACACCTGAAAACTCTAGAACAAAAAGAAGCAAACTCATCTAGGAGGAGTAGACAGCAGGAAATAATCAAATTGCGAGGAGAAATCAAAAAATAGAAACAGAAACAATACAAAGAGTCAATGAGACAAAGAGATAGTTCTTGGAGAAAATCAACAAGATAGACAAACATTTATCCAAACTAACCAAAAGGCAGAGAGAGAATATTCAAATTAGCAAAATCAGAAACGAGAAGGGAGACATAACAACAGACACTGAGGAAATCCAGAGGATTTTCCTGTACTCCACAAAATTCAAAACCTTAAAAGAAATGGACAATTTTCTGGGTTAGTACCACATACCAAAATTAAGTCAAGATCAAATAAACAAATTACATAATCCTATAACCCCCAAGGAACTAGAAACAGTCATCAAAGTTTTCTAACCCTCCCAAAAAGAGTCCAGAGGCAGATGGTATCAGTGCATAATTCTACCAGAATTTCCAAGAAGAAATAATACCAATACTCCTCAAATTGTTCCACACAATAGAGACAGAAGGAACATTGCCAAACAGTTACCATGATATCCAATCCACACAAAGACACAACCAACATAGAGAATTACAGACCAATCTCCCTCATGAACACTGATGCTAAAATACTGGCAAACCTAATCCAAGAACTCATCGAAAAATCATCTACCATGAACAAGTAAGCTTTAATTCAGAGATTCAGGGATATTCAACATGCAAAAATGTGTTAATGTAACCCACCATATAAACAAACTAAAAGGAAGAAAACATGATCATCTCTTTAGATGCTGAAAAATCCTTCAACAAAATTCAACATCTAGGGATGGAGAGATGGCTTAGAGGTTAAGAGCACTGACTGCTCTCCCAGAGGTCCTGAGTTCAATTCTGAGCAGCCACATGGTGGCTCACAACCATCTATAATGAGATCTGGTGCCCTCTTCTGACATACAGAACACTATACAAAATACCTCTTCATGATAAAGGCCCTGGAGATGTCAAGGATACAAGAAACATATCTAAACATAATAAAGGCAATATGCAACAAGACAACAGCCAACATCAAAGTGCTTCCACTGAAATTAGGAACAAGCCAAGACTGTCCACTCTCTGTGTATCTATTCAATATTGTACTTGAAGTTCTAGCTAGAGCAATAAGACAACAAAAGAATATGAAGGGGATACAAATTGGAAAAGAAGTCAAACTTTCACTATTTGCTGATATGATAGTATACATAAGTGACCCCAAAAATTCTATCAGGAAACTCCTACACCTGGGAACATCTTTAATGTAGCAGGATACAATACTAACTAAAAACTGTTATCCTCCTACATAGATGATAAACTGGCTAAGACATAAATCAGAGAAACATCACCCTTTACAATAGTCACAAATAATATAAACTATCTTGAGGTAACTCTAACCAAACAAGTGAAAGACCTGTGACAAAAACTTTAGTTCCTAAAGCAAGGAACTGAAGATATCAGAAAATAGAAAAGTCTCCCATGCTCTTGGATATGTAGGATCAACATAGCAAAAATGGCAATCTTAACAAAAGCAATCTACATATTCAGTACAATACCCATCAAAATCCCAGAAAAATTCCTCACAGACCTCAAAGGACAATAAATTTCATATGGAAAAACAAAAATCCCATGATAGCCAAAATAATCCTTTATTAAGGAATTTCTGGAAGCATCACCATACCTGACTTCAAACTTTATCATAGAGCTACAGTAATGAAAAAATCTTGGTATTGGCATGAAAACAGACAGGCAGAGTAATAGAATTGAATCAAAGACCCTGACATAAACACACACACACCTATAAACATCAGATTTTGACAAAGAAGCTAAAATTATAAAATGGAAAAAGAAAGCATCTTCATAACTGGATGTTGACATGTAAAAGAATGCAAATAGATTCATATCTATTGCCATTAACAAAACTGAAGTCCAAATGGATCAAAGACCCCAACATAAAACCAACCACACTGAACCTCTTAGAAGAGAAAGTGGGAGGTAACCTGGAACACATTGGCCCAGGAGACCACTTCCTAAATATAACACCAGTAGCACAGACATTGAGAGCAACAATGACTAAATTGGACAACCTGAAACTGAGAAGCTTCTGTAAAGCAAAGGTCTCGGTGAATAAGACAAAACCACAGCCTACAGAATGGGAAAAGATCTTCACCAACCCCACATCTGACAGAGGCCTAATTTCCAAAATATACAAATAACTCAAGAAACTAGACATCAAAAGATCAAATAATCCAATAAAAATGGGTAAAGATCTAAACAGAACTCTCAGCAGAGGAATCTTAAATGACAGAAAGACATGTAAGGGAATGCTCAACATCCTTAGTTACCAGAAAATTGCAAATCAAAACAACTCTGAGGTTCAGTCTTACACCTGTCAGAATGGTCAAGATCAAAAAGTCTGATGACAGTTTATGCTGGAGAGGATATGGAGTAAGGGGAACACTCCTCTATTGCTAGTGGGGGTGCAGACTTGTATAGCTGCTATGGAAATCAGTTTGGCAGTTTCTCAGAAAAATGGGGCTCAATCTACCTCAAGACCCAGCAATACCACTTTTGGGCACATACCCAAAGGATGCACACTCACACCACAAGGACATCTGCTCAACTATGTTCATAGCAGCTTTGCTCCTAATAGCCAGAACCTGGAAACAACCTAGATGACCCTCAACTGAAGAATGGATAAGGAAAATGTGGTACATTGAGTACTACTCAGTGGTTAAAAAAACAATGACATCTTGAAATTTTCAGGCAAATTGACAGAACTAGAAAAAGACATCCTGAGTGAGATAACCCAGACCCGGAAAGACAAATATAGCACGTACTAATTCATAAGTGGATATTAGACATAAAGCAAAGCACAGCCAGCCTACAGACCACAACCCCAGAGAACCTAGGTAATAAAAGAGGACCCTAAGAGAGACATGCATGGATTCTCCTAAGAAGGGGATAAAAGAAAAGTTCTCCTGAGTAAATTAGGAGCATGGGGGCAGGGGAGGAGTGGAAGGGGAGAGGAGAAGGAGAAAGAGAAGTAGGGAAAATGTATAGCACAATAAAAATAAAATGAAATAAAATAAAAGATTGCTACTGCCAAATTTAAGTAGAATAAAAGAGAATCCCATGGATGACAACAATGAGACGTCCCAAGATGATAGACTTATAACTAAGGTAGAAAACAGTCATCCAATTTAAAAGGGAACTGGTTGGTGTCTTGGAAGACACAGGAGTCACCACCTGTGGAATTGCAATGGGGGCAACTGGAGTCATGGAAGGATACAGATAAGCACTATTGGTAAAGAGAATGGAAAACCAAGGTAGTTATTAGTGTCAAAACAATAGGATGGAAAGCATGGTTATTACATAGCAAAGATCCTAACACATGACAAGTGAAAAGGGGCACGAAAGAACTCAAATTTAATCTAACTTACTGAAGATTCAGTTGAAAATGTGTGAGATTAAGATATATTTTAAAAAATCAGTGCCAGAGGAGGTGACAAAAAATGCCTAAAAATGGCTGAATCTTGGGCGAGAAACAAAGGAGAGAGAAGGCAGGGATTTTAAGCCTCTTAGTGTTCTGTTTTTGTAAAATAAAGGCTACATTTTATTCTGGGGTAACACAAATTTTAAAATGTCAGTAACCTGGAGTTCTTACAGGTCTGACCACCAATAGAAAGTGGTGATGGGATGTGAAACAATGCTGATAATAATAGAAAAGCTAAATAATGCTAAAAGCTGTGAAAATTAGAAAAAATGACTTTTTGAAGGAAATAGAAAGCATCCTTGATTTTAAAATCTCATCTGGGTGGTTGTGGCACAAGCCTTTAATCCTACCACTTGGGACACAAAGCGAAGAGGATCTCTGTGAGTTCAAGGTCAGCCAGAACTACACAGAGAAATCCTGTCTTGAAAAAAAAGAACAAAAACCACAGTGTTTTTTTTCTGAGAGCAACCATCATAAAGATGCAATATCAAAGCACTTCCACAAATGCAAAGCTGACCTACCCTCTACAGCCAGTACCAGAGCATTTTCTGGGTATTGGAGAGCTTGGTAATTAATACCAATACATAGTACATAGAGAAGATGGAATGTGAAAATTGTGGAGCAGAAAGTATTATATAAGGTATGGAAGAAGAGTGAAGACCTTGAAATTGGAAGAATTGTCCAAGTCACAAGAAACTGTAGAAAACCCTAGCTGTTCTGTGTTTTTAATGCATTATTGCTAAGTGGTTTGCAAATAACACGATATTGGTTGACTTCTTGGTAAAGGTTTGTTTCTCTTTTATAATCTTTACTGTCGGTTTTTAGATTTTCTTAAATTTTTGTGGGGAATCCGGGCTTAATATGGGGCAGAATGTCTTTACTATGCCATCTTCTTGAAAAAGAAAATAGCACTCCTACAACACAAGGTGGCGCTGCAGGCTAAAAAGAGGAAAGGAAAGGGCCAGGGAAGGGGGCTAAAACCGCACAAAGGATGGACTAGGTTTCTCACAAAGCCATAGGAAATGACACAGCAGCAGCAAGCGCTGGGAGAAGGTGCCTCTGTCTTTTCACAGGACTTGCTAATGTCCTCATAAATCCTAAGGATTCTGCGGCTGTCATTCCAGGGAACTGAATTTTGTTTTTATTTTGTAAGTCTTAGGAAGAATGGAGGCCAGATTGGACCGAGCTATGCAGAAAAGGCAAGTACTGTTTTTTTGTGTATTTCTGGGAGCATCTTGGGCTGGCTCCAACAAGCTTCAGTATTTGGTGGCAGAGGAAGCTGAGAGAGGCACTTTCGTGGCCAATCTAGCTAAGGACTTAGAGTTGGAGCTGGGGGAACTGTCAGCTCGGGGCGCTAGAATTGTTTCCGACCAGAACACGCGGGTTTTAGTGCTCAGTCCTCTCACTGGAGACCTAATTCTAAATGAAAAGCTGGACCGGGAGGAACTGTGCGGCCCCACAGAGCCGTGTGTTCTGACTTTCCAGTTGCTGCTGGAAAACCCATTTCAGATTCATCTTGCTGCACTGCATGTCGGAGATATAAATGACAATTCCCCAGTATTTCTAGACAAAGAAATTTCCTTGAAAATATCAGAAAGTACGACACCAGGGACTACGTTTCTCTTGGAGAGGGCACAGGATTCCGACGTGGGGACGAACAGCCTGAGTAACTACACCATCAGTCCAAATGCATATTTCCACATTCACGTGCATGACGGAGGGGAGGGTCCGGTCTTTCCTGAGTTGGTTCTGGATCAAACGCTAGACCGAGAAGAATTAGCAGAGTTCACTTTAACCCTTACAGCCTTAGATGGTGGATCCCCTCCCAGATCTGGGACAGCACTGGTGCGAATCCTGGTTTTAGACATAAACGACAACTCCCCTGAATTCGTGCAGTCCCTCTACAAAGTCCAGTCACATGAAAACACTCCTATTGGCTCCTTTGTTGTTGCTGTGTCTGCCAGGGATTTAGACACGGGAAGTTACGGACAGATAGCATACGCATTTTTTTATGCCACTGAGAGAATTCTCCAAACGTTTCAAATCAATTCTACAACTGGCAAAATTTATCTTAAAGGTGAACTCAACTATGAAGCCATTCAAAGTTACTCAGTAACTATACAAGCCAAAGATGGCGGGGGACTTTCTGGGAAATGCACTGTAGTTGTACAGGTAATGGATGTGAATGATAACCCACCTGAACTTCTCTTGTCGTCACTTACCAGCCCAATTGCTGAAAACAAACCAGAGACAGTCGTTGCTGTTTTCAGAATTAGAGACAGAGATTCAGGGAACAACGGTAAAACCATGTGCTCCATTCCACATGATCTCCCTTTTGTCCTAAAGCCATCTGTGGAAAATTTCTATACTCTAGTAACAGAGATGCCTTTAGATAGAGAATTGCACACTGAGTATAACATCACCATCACAGCCACCGACCTGGGCACACCCAGGCTCACAACCCAACACACCATAACAGTGCAGGTGTCTGACGTCAACGACAACGCCCCCGCCTTCACACAAACCTCCTACACCCTGTTTGTCCAGGAGAACAACAGCCCCGCCCTGCACATAGGCACCATCAGCGCCACAGACTCAGACTCAGGCTCCAATGCCCGCATCACCTACTCGCTGCTGCCCAGCCACGACCCGCAGCTGGCCCTGGACTCGCTCATCTCCATCAATGCGGACAACGGGCAGCTGTTCGCGCTCAGGGCCCTGGACTATGAGGCCCTGCAGACCTTTGAGTTCCGCGTGGGCGCCACAGACCAAGGCTCGCCCGCTCTCAGCAGCCAGGCACTGGTGCGCGTGCTCGTGCTGGACGCCAACGACAATGCGCCCTTCGTGCTCTACCCGCTGCAGAATGCATCTGCGCCCTGCACAGAGCTGCTGCCCAGGGCGGCGGAGCCAGGATACCTGGTCTCCAAGGTGGTGGCTGTGGACCGCGACACTGGCCAGAACTCCTGGCTGTCATTCCAGCTGTTCAAGGCCACAGAGCCAGGGCTGTTCAGCGTGTGGGCTCACAATGGCGAGGTGCGCACCTCCAGGCTGCTGAGTGAGCGCGATGCTCCCAAGCACAGGCTGCTGCTGCTTGTCAAGGACAATGGCGACCCTCCCAGGTCTGCCAGTGTCACTCTGCATGTGCTACTGGTGGATGGCTTCTCTCAGCCCTACCTGCCTCTGCCCGAGATGGGGCGCGAACCTGCACAAGGCGACGATGCACTCACGCTGTACCTGGTCATCGCCTTGGCATCTGTGTCTTCGCTCTTCCTCTTGTCTATGCTGCTGTTCGTGGGGGTGAGGCTGTGCAGGAGGGCCAGGGCGGCCTCTCTGGGTGGCTGCTCTGTGCCTGAGGTACACTTTCCTGGTCACCTAGTGGATGTCAGCGGTGCGGGTACCTTGTCCCAGAGCTACCAGTATGAGGTGTGTCTGGCTGAAGGGTCAGGGATAACAAGCGAATTTAATTTCCTAAAACCAATTGCCCCCAACTTCCTAACTGAAAGCATAGGAAGAGAAGCAGAATAAACACTAGCCCCTTCTGCCTGTGGATTTAGCCCCCGTTTAAAGTATGCCCTGTAGGAGAATGATTTTATGCTAATGTCTTGAGATTAATTAAATTAGGTCAGAAAAGAATGCCTTTGCTTACTCCCAAGAACTTTCTCTCAAGCATGATCTCGATTTTAATTTGATTCCTCTTTGTTTTTAAGCATTTGTTAAATGGCAGTCTATTGAATGACAAATCTTGCTAGGAATGATTTAAACTGTTTTTCCATCTAATTTCGTCATTGATACTTACATTCTGACTTGATTGAAATCACATGTAAAAATCCCTACCTTACATTTTTGGAGTTCATACTACACAGAGTTTTCTTAAGTTTATTAAGTAATTACCGTGCACCACACATAATTTCATCACCTTTTAGAGATATGGTCTCTCTGTATCCAGGATGGCTTTGAGCTGTTGATCCTCCAGCCCCAGACTCCCAAACTGCTTGCATGATAGGCATCAGCCTATATTACTGCTATGATTCAGAAGAAACCAATGAGTAGAGGTATTTCAATAATGAGCAGGTAGATGTTCATAGCAATTTGCTAAGTTCCACAATCATTAACTGGCAAAGGAGAGCATCTCCTAATTCTTTGTGGTGTTTTTCTCTTGTTTGAAGTGTGAGAGAGTCCTCATTCTTTCCACCTCCAGGCAGGTGACTTTACAACACCTGTTATGCTGTTTTCTATCACTAGGGGTCATCTGTCATACTCACATTGCTCCCCAGTCTCTCCTGTGTTCAGAAATAGCTATGCTCCTCTTGGCCTGTAGTCTTATTTCCTTATAAACTGACAATCCCTATTCTTGGGTTTATTGCCTAACTATTAAAACTATGAATTAACTAAAGCTCAAGTTCTAAAAGGTTGGGTTCTGAGCATGGTGTAACATGCCTTTAATCCCAGTACTTGGGAGGCAGTCACACAGGGGGATCTCTGTGAGATTGAGATCAGCCTGGTATACAATGAAAGTTTCATGACAGCCAAGGGTGCATATAGAGATCCTGTATAGAGGGGGAGGAGAGGGAGAGAGGGGCAGGAGGAGGAGGAAGAGGTGGATGAAGAGGATTTCTCCATCAAATTTCCATACATTTTGGGGTTACTCTCCCTCCACATCTATTTCTCATTTGTAGGATGATGAGTTCACAGAAAAACTAGAAATCTAGATACTAATGTCTCATCTGTAGTTGAAGAAACTAGGGCAGAGAGATTAAATGATTTTCCCAAGCATCACAATTGTTTCTGTGGTTCATCATACTAAAAGTATATAACTCCCAAAACCTTCCATTTCTAGAAACATGCATGCACACCCATATGTATATATTTCTTGCATACATTTTTCCTTCCAGGTTGTTATTTAAACACATATCCTTTGTTTAAAGCTCAATTAGAATTATTGGAAATCTCCATCTCTTGTGTGGCTTTTGGGCAGTTGTCTCCCCAAGATGGCAAAGCAATAGGAGAGGCAATGCACCCTTACTATGCCAACTGCTTGACATGGGCAGCTGTAGTTTTTTTACATCCATTTTCATCCCACAAAATGTTAAGATGCAGTGAGAACACTTGGTGGCGCTGCAGGATAAGAAAGTAAAGTAGAAGGCAGTTGGCTCCACTAACAGGCAAAAAAAAAAAAGAGGAAAAGGAAAAACCTCCTGAAGTCTGGAAGCCTAGAGAAGCTCCTGACACTCAGAGAGGAGGTCTGTGCCCTTGGGAAAGGACTGGAGTAAATCTCAAGTATCTAGTGAGATAACTACTGTACCAGATACCAGGGGGACTTACAGCTTTGCAGAAGCATTCTCCAGGACTCTGCACCACCACAAAGAATGGAGGCCAGCAGGAAGCTCACTTGCAGACAAAGGCAAGTCCATTTTTCCTTCTTCCTACTAGGATTATCTCTGGTGAATGCCGGGGAGCTGAGGCACTATTCTGTGGTGGAGGAAAGAGAGGGTAGGTCCTTTGTAACCAATTTAGTAAATGACCTAGGTCTTGGGCAGCTGGAGTTCTCCAGTCGAGGGGCTAAGGTCGTTTCTAAAGGGAACAAACTACGTTTACAGCTGGATCAGGAAACAGGGGATTTGCTGTTAACTGAGAAGGTGGACCGAGAAGAACTCTGTGGACACACAGAGCCATGCCTGTTACGTTTCCAAGTGTTGCTAGACAATCCCTTGGATATTTTTCAAGCAGATCTACAAATAACAGACATAAATGACCACTCTCCAGCATTCCTGGACAAGGAAATCATGCTAACCATATCAGAAAGCAGTCTTCCTGGGGCTACATTTCCTCTGAAGAATGCCCAGGACATGGATGTGGGCCAAAATGGTATTGACAGCTATCTTGTCAGCTCCAATCCCTATTTCCACGTGCTCACCCGGAAACGCAGCGATGGCAAGAAATATCCTGAGCTGGTTCTAGACAGAGCACTGGATAGAGAGGAACAAGCTGAGCTCAGGTTAACCCTTACAGCCCAGGATGGTGGTTCTCCAACCAGGTCTGGCACCACCGAGGTCCACATTGAAGTCCTGGATTTCAATGACAATGCCCCCCAATTTGAGGAGCTTCTTTATAGGGTACAGATCCCTGAGGACAGTCCAATAGGCTTTCTGATCACCACCGTCTCAGCCACAGATAAGGACATAGGAGTCAATGGACAGATCTCCTATTCACTTTTTCAGGCTTCAGATGATATTAGCAAAACCTTTTCAATCCATCCCTTGACCGGGGAGGTGCGATTGAAAGAACAACTTGATTTTGAAAAGACTCAGTCCTATGAAGTCAATATCGAAGCCAGAGACGCTGGAACCTTTTCTGGAAAATGCACGATTCTGACCCAAGTCGTGGATGTGAATGACCACACTCCAGAGATTACCCTGTCTGCATTTACCAACCCCATCCCGGAGAATTTACCGGAAACTATGGTGGCAGTTTTTACTGTGTCTGATCTAGATTCAGGAGAAAATGGAAAAATAACTTGTTCCATCCAAGACGATCTGCCGTTCTTCCTAAGGCCTTCTGGGGAAAACTTTTACACCCTATTAACACAAAAACCGCTGGACAGAGAGACAACAGCAGAGTACAACATTACCATCACAGTCACCGACCTGGGCACACCCAGGCTCACAACCCAGCACACCATAACTGTGCAGGTGTCTGACGTCAACGACAACGCCCCCGCCTTCACACAAACCTCCTACACCCTGTTTGTCCAGGAGAACAACAGCCCCGCCCTGCACATAGGCACCATCAGCGCCACAGACTCAGACTCAGGCTCCAATGCCCGCATCACCTACTCGCTGCTGCCTGCCCACGACTCACAGCTGACCCTGGACTCGCTCATCTCCATCAATGCCGACAACGGGCAACTGTTCGCGCTCAGGGCGCTGGACTATGAGGCCCTGCAGACCTTCAAGTTCCTCGTGGGCGCCACAGACCAAGGCTCGCCCGCTCTCAGCAGTCAGGCTCTGGTGCGCGTGCTTGTGCTGGACGCCAACGACAATGCGCCCTTCGTGCTCTACCCGCTGCAGAACGCATCTGCGCCCTGCACAGAGCTGCTGCCCAGGGCGGCGGAACCAGGATACCTGGTCTCCAAGGTGGTGGCTGTGGACCGCGACTCTGGCCAGAACTCCTGGCTGTCATTCCAGCTGCTCAAGGCCACAGAGCCAGGGCTGTTCAGCGTGTGGGCTCACAATGGCGAGGTGCGCACCTCCAGGCTGCTGAGTGAGCGCGATGCTCCCAAGCACAGGCTGCTGCTGCTGGTCAAGGACAATGGCGACCCTCCCAGGTCTGCCAGTGTCATTCTGCATGTGCTGCTGGTGGATGGCTTCTCTCAGCCCTACCTGCCTCTGCCCGAGGCGGCGCACGAACCTGCACAAGACGATGATGCACTCACGCTGTACCTGGTCATCGCCTTGGCATCTGTGTCTTCGCTCTTCCTCTTGTCTGTGCTGCTGTTCGTGGGGGTGAGGCTGTGCAGGAGGGCCAGGCCGGCCTCTCTGGGTGGCTGCTCTGTGCCTGAGGGACACTTTCCTGGCCACCTGGTGGATGTTGGCAGGGCGGGGACCCTGTCCCAGAGCTACCCGTATGAGGTGCGTCTGATGGGAGACTCTGGGACTGATGAATTCAAATTCCTGAAACCCATTTTACCTAATTTCCAAGACCATCCTCTTGGATCGGAAACGGGAGAAATTTCCAACTGTAGAAATGACTGGGATTTCGGCATTCAGTTAAAATAACTGTGTTTTGTGTTTGTTGTTTGTTTGTTTTTAACCATGGGTAGCGTTTTGTTGTTGTTGGAAACTCAAAGTACTCTTCTTGTTCTCATTATGGAAATCTGAAGTGCACTGAAAACTTGTTCTCAGGACATTCTGGCCGTGGTTTTAGTGAGATTGTCTCATCTATTCTGCAGAATGGAAGAGGAAATGTTCTGATCTTTTCTTTCTAACTAGTCACTAGTTGTCCACATCCTTGTTCTGGGGTAGCTTAGGAATGTACAATCAGGTCAGCGCAATCAGACACGCTCTGTTCCTAGTTGCTAATCATCAGCGTAGCATTACAGAGCATTGCCCAAACGCAAGGGAGTCTAATCAGAATGTGAGAGGAAGGGCACACCGAGGAGCCTGGCTACTGCTGTATTTGACCTCCATGGACTAACTGGTTTGTTGGTGTTTTCTCTTTAAAATCTTACATAGCTTCACGGCTCTTCATTAGCCTGTTGTTACTTCTAATATCACTATTTTAAACTGCTTTCTGATGTGTTTTGTTGGTGCTGAGGAGGGTTCAGAAACCCACCCCTCACTTACCTGGTAAGCTGCAATAGCAGGGCAGTAAAACTGACTTTTCTGAGGAATGTTTGCCAGTGAAAGAGACTGCGCCTGTCAATATAACCCCCCCCACACTTTCTTTACTGTTGTATTCCAAATTCCATTCTGGCTAGTAATATGCTTAGTCAAAAGAATATATTCTCACAGCCCTCTTTGGCAAATATGGCTGGGCATATGGATAGGTTATAGTGGGTTGTAAAAAGAAGCAACTTCCAAAGCCTTTTAGTTGAGGGTAAACCCAGGGTCCCATGCATGCTGGGTAAAGCTGTGTCACTGATGTACCACTGCAAGCTCCAAGAACACTTTTAGAGGGAGATGTCTCTCCTGAAGGGGGGTTTCCCCCTTTTCAACCTTTAATGTGGTCCTCAACCTGTGGGTCTCAATCCCTGTGGGTCACATATCAAATATCCTGCCTATCAAATATTTACATGAATATTCATAACAGTAGAAAGAATACAGTTGTGAATTAGCCACAAAATAATTTTATAGTTGGGGTCACCACAAGACAGGGAACTGTGTTACAGGGTTGAGAACCACTGCTTTAACACCATGTTCTCCTGGGATGTCTGTGGGTGGTCTGATGAGTACACAAATAACACATTGGATCTGTGGTAGGGATGGAGGGGTGAAATAGTACCAAATGAACTCAATAGGGACAGGGTCCCTGGTGGCTTGGGAGTTGCCATATTATTCCTGATGTTGCCAGTTTCTAATTATTTGCAGATGTGTCTACATGTGGATATGCACATATGGGTTCAAGTACCCTCAGAGGCACTGGATCCCTTCGATCTGGAGTCACAGAGGGCACTGAGCTGCCTGTTCTGGGTTTTGAGAACCAAATTCAGGTCCTCTGCAAAAGCAACAAGTACTCTTAACCACAGAGCAGTCTCTCCAGTTCCCACATCCATTATGTTTAAATCTGTTTCCCAAGCCCTATGCAGGTTACCAATTATTCCTCTCTCTCTCTCTCTCTCTCTCTCTCTCTCTCTCTCTCTCTCTCTCTCTCTCTCTCTCTCTCTGTGTGTGTGTGTGTGTGTGTGTTTGTAGCAATACCACCTGTTGCCAAATGAAGATACGTAAAGTTAGAACAAGATTTTAGGTCTCATTGGCTTGAAGAATCCAATTAACAATTTCTAGAGCCATTAGTAAAAACGAGTTAGTAAGGGTATCAATATCTGTGTGGTACTGGAATTCAAACCCTGAGTCATATGCATACCTAATATGCTCTGTCATTGAACTTCCTGCCCTGTCCATCATTAATTTTTACTGCAACTCAACTCAAACTATAGAAACAGAAAATCTAAACGAAAGAGTACAAAGATAATCCAGGGTTTCAATACAGAATTTAAACTCTTTTTTAATTTAAATAGAATTTAGTAGACTAAATTTAAATCTTATTTTTAAACTCTCACAGCTCAATTATTAAAAGACTAACAATTCAATTAAAAATAAGCAAAGACCAGAATAGATATTTTCTGAAGAGAATATACCAATGGCTAAAATGCACCTGAAGAGCTGTACAACATCGCTCATCAAACCAACATCACAACAAGACATCTGGACCTACTAGGATGTTGAGGACCAAAGAGTCAGATCAGTGTTGGGAGGATGTCATAATTCTGAAACCCTGACACACAGTTGATGTAATGTAAATTGCTGCGGCCGTTTTTTTTTAAACCAGCCTGTAAGTTTTTCAAATGGGTAAACATAGAGCTATCACATGGTAAGCAATTCAGCTGCTAGATAAAAATAATGTATGTCAACATGAAATATGTGCTTGAGTTGGATGGAGGTGGTGCTCACTTTTAGGGAGTCTGAGGCAGATGGATCTGAAAGTTTGAGGCAAGTCCCGGGATAGCTAAAGCTATGCAGAGAAACCCTGTCTCAGAAAACCAAGTGTTGTGTGTTGTGTGTGTTGTGTGTGTGTGTGTGTGTGTACATATATAACTCTTCATAGCAACATTGCTCAGAGCAGCAAATGGGTAGAAACATTCCAGATGTTCAAATAAACATGAGCTTGCTATAGCCAGAAAAATTAATGCAATTCTGGAACATGCTAGAATTTGGATGAACCTTGAAAGTCAGGCCAAGGCAGGAGAGTTGACCTCAGAAGACCACACATCCTGTCATTCCATTCATGTGTAAGTCTACGATAGAGAACTCTGTAGATGCCAAAAAGAGACTAACGGTTCCTCTGGGCACTACATAGGAGAAATAAAGAAATAAGATGATAGTTAAGGGATGTGAGGCTCTTCTTTGGCTGCAAACCTGAACTTGATGGTGGGTGCACCACTTTGTGTATATATTAAAAGGCTCTAAGCTTTATACTTTAAATGGATGCATTTAAGTGTATGTTATATCCCAAAGCCGTATATTAAAAAACACAGGCACTATTTATGCCAAATGTAAAAATCAATCCAGGTCCTCACATGGATATTTATGAAATAATTTTCTGGCAGTTGAACGTTGGGAAGACTTAAAATTCTTTCCCTTGGATGCTGGGGAGAAAAAGGAACCCATTCATTCCTTAATGAAGCATGTCTACCTCCTGTAGAATTTACTGGTTGAGATTTTGCATTGTCCCCTAATTTGTAGCTGTGTAGTGTGTGTGGTGAGAAATATGTGCATGTGAAACATTGCCCATGCTGTATTTGAGACTTTACCCCTCAATGCAAATGTTGGCTATACTATCTTATTCAGCCGTTGTTGGCACATCAGCGTCATTACATACTCAATACCATGAGTGAAAATTTACTTTTGTACTTAGTTTCATACAGTACCTCAGCGTTTTATTTATACACACAAAAACAACATGAAAAAAGTTAATGATTCACATTATATCACTTAGTCCACATGCCTTGCAGAATTTTTCTTGTTAAATCTGAACATGCAAGTCCCAGTGAGACCACGTGGTGGCGCTGCAGGTTAAAGAGACAAAGCATAGGTAATGCTTCTGCAATCTCCTCTCAGTGCCAGTTTCTCACCACCTACAAGCAAAAAAAAAAAAAAAATGTGCTCTCTTCAGCCAAAGCAAAGGAGAGTGTAAGACCTTAAATATCCTATCTAGAGGCTCGATTCTGACGTTCTGGTCTGTGGGACAGTGCTATCAGCATCCTGGGCACAGGAGAAGCTACCGCAAAGCAAATAGGAACGAGGAAAGAGCCATGGAGACTGCATGGATGCAGAAACCGAGACAAAGGCAAGTCCTAGTTTTCTTTGTTTTGCTGAGTGTGTCTGAGGCAGGCACGGAGCTAGGTCCCTATTCCATAAAGGAAGAAATGGAGAGGGGCTCCTTTGTGGCAAATCTTGGGAAAGATCTGGGAGTGGAGCTGGCAGGGATATCTACCCGCAGGGCTCGGATCATTTCCCAGGAAAAGAAAGAAAATTTGCAGCTCAATGTTCAATCCGGAGATTTGCTCATAAATGAGAAACTAGATCGAGAGGAGCTGTGTGGCTCTGTCGAGCCTTGTGTTCTTCACTTCCAAGTGTTAATGGAAAACCCTTTAGAGGTATTTCAGGCTGAATTGAGGGTGGAGGACATAAATGACCATTCTCCAGTGTTCAATGAAAAAGAAATGATACTGAGAATACCAGAAAACAGTCCTCTGGGAAGTACATTCCCTTTAAATAATGCTCTGGACTCAGACTTGGAAATTAACAATATTCAGAGCTATAAAGTCAGCTCAAACTCTCATTTCCTGGTTGTAACCCGCAATCGCAGTGATGGCAGGAAGTACCCGGAGCTGGTGCTGGAGGGAGAGCTGGATCGGGAGAAGGAGCCTGAGCTAAGGTTAACCCTCACAGCCTGGGATGGTGGCTCTCCTCCCCGGTCTGGGATGGCACGGGTTCTCATTGAAGTAGTGGACACCAACGATAATGCACCCGAGTTTCAGCAGCCAACCTACCAAGTGCAAATTCTGGAGAATCTCCCAGCGGGGTCCCTGGTAATCACAGTCTCAGCCAATGACTTAGACAGCGGGGATTATGGGAAGGTATTGTACGCACTCTCTCAGCCTTCGAAAGATATCAGCAAGACATTAAAAGTGAATCCAGTAACAGGGGAAATTCGGCTACGAAAAGAGGTAGATTTTGAAACAACTCCCTTTTATGAAGTGGACATTAAGGCCACGGATGGAGGTGGTCTCTCAGGAAAATGCACTCTGCTCCTGCAGGTGAGGGACGTGAACGACAACCCCCCAGAAGTGAGGCTATCGGCACTTAGCAGCCAGGTTCTAGAAAACTCCCCGAATGAGGTAGTTGCTGTGTTCAGTGTTAGAGATCCTGACTCAGGGAACAATGGGAAGGTGACTTCCTCCATCCAGGAGGACCTTCCCTTTCTTCTAAAACTGTCAGGAAAGAACTTTTACACTTTAATAACGAAGATAGCACTAGATAGGGAAGAAAGAGAACAGTAGAACATCACCATCACAGCCACCGACCTGGGCACACCCAGGCTCACAACCCAGCACACCATAACAGTGCAGGTGTCTGACGTCAACGACAACGCCCCCGCCTTCACACAAACCTCCTACACCCTGTTTGTCCAGGAGAACAACAGCCCCGCCCTGCACATAGGCACCATCAGCGCCACAGACTCAGACTCGGGCTCCAATGCCCGCATCACCTACTCGCTGCTGCCAGCCCACGCCCCGCAGCTGGCCCTGGACTCGCTCATCTCCATCAATGCCGACAACGGGCAGCTGTTCGCGCTCAGGGCGCTGGACTATGAGGCCCTGCAGACCTTCGAGCTCCGCGTGGGCGCCACAGACCAAGGCTCGCCTGCTCTCAGCAGCCAGGCTCTGGTGCGCGTGCTTGTGCTGGACTCCAATGACAATGCGCCCTTCGTGCTCTACCCGCTGCAGAACGCATCTGCGCCCTGCACAGAGCTGCTGCCCAGGGCGGCGGAGCCAGGATACCTGGTCACCAAGGTGGTGGCAGTGGACAGCGACTCTGGCCAGAACTCCTGGCTGTCATTCCAGCTGCTCAAGGCCACAGAGCCAGGGCTGTTCAGCGTGTGGGCTCACAATGGCGAGGTGCGCACCTCCAGGCTGCTGAGTGAGCGCGATGCTCCCAAGCACAGGCTGCTGCTGCTGGTCAAGGACAATGGCGACCCTCCCAGGTCTGCCAGTGTCACTCTGCATGTGCTGCTGGTGGATGGCTTCTCTCAGCCCTACCTGCCTCTGCCCGAGGTGGCGCACGAAGGAACACAGGAGGATGACTTGTTCACACTGTATCTGGTCATCGCCTTGGCGTCTGTGTCTTCGCTCTTCCTCTTGTCTATGCTGCTGTTCGTGGGGGTGAGGCTGTGTAGGCAGGGCCGGGCGGCCTCTCTGGGTGGCTGCTCTGTGCCTGAGGGACACTTTCCTGGTCACCTGGTGGATGTCAGCGGCGCGGGGACCCTGTCCCAGAGCTACCAGTATGAGGTGTGTCTGATGGGCGATTCTTCTGGGACCAGCGATTTTAAATTCTTACAGCCAGTTCTCCCCAGCTCCCTGCCCCAGTGCTCTGGGAAAGAAACAGTGGAAAATTCTACCCTCCAGAATAGTTTGGGATTTAATCATTATTAGATAGATACGTAATAGATATTTACTTTCCAACATCATCTTGTTGATTAAATTCTGTATACTTGTTACTAACAAAAAGGTTTAGTTTTCCATTTACTCATCAGTTTTCAGGTTTATGCTTAATGTCACAGTGTTGGTTTCATTCTTGTTCATTGCCTAGAATTTCTTCATAGGAGCCCAGCAATGAAAAGGCTTCATCTACACAGTTAAAGTAGATTGCTAAAACGTTTCCACCGCTTTGCTTTTGATGACTTCGTTAGCTCTGCACACTTCACGTCAATGTTCTGTTCCTAGACTTCTGGAATTACCTAAGTATTGCCCTGCATGTTATGTGCATATTTACTACCTGGTATTTCTGTATTCCTTTTCTATGCTGGCTGTCTTGTTCATTAGTCCCTGGTTTTTGTTTTATACAATAGTTGTCTTCTGCCATGCTACTATTTTATAGTTCTATTTTTCTTCGTTTCTATATCTCGATTTGAAATATGTTTCTGTCATAAGTAATAGAAGTATCCATTCAATCTGAAAACAAGCATGTTGTAAGATATTGAGTTTATGTGGATGTACCTAAATTTGAGGGCATGGAGGCAAATTTTGGCATTCTAAGGCATCAAATAGGAGCATTTAATAATTCGTCTTAATTCTGCATGGAAGCCTTAGAGATAGACATTGAGTTTCCAATGGCTCACAATCCAGTTGCTTTCTGTTGAATAAACAGTGTATATATAACACCAAGTACATGTTGTGACTTTTCTCTGCAATGGAGTTGGGGTCTGAGGCACTATCTAACCTTTTTTTCTTGTACACATCCTAAGGTTTAATATATATCGTTTGTTTATAGTGGGAAAATTAGAGCATTCTAGGCCTTTGAATAAAATTCCTTGTGAGGAAGATGTTTTATTGGCACATCCTTGCTTTCAACATCAATAAGACATGTGTTAGTCATAGTATTGGTCTGTTATTTCATGCACAGTAATTGGGTCATATTAGATTTCATTAAGAGGGACATTTATACAAAGGTGGGGCATTTGTTCAGCTGTATAGATGGTGGCTATTATAAGAAAATAAACACAAGTTGAAGGAAAGGAACAGAGTTTCAAAGTATTAAGTAAGTGAAGTAACATGATTTTCAGATGGTGGGGACTGATGGACATTGGTTGTCTCTCATCCTCCTCGTAGTTCATTTGTGTGTGCTTTGACTCAATAAACATTGGTGACTGAATGACTTGCCAAAGACAAGACATGGTTCCCATCCCAAGTAGGTCACATATTGAAGGGGAGGTAGAGGCTTATAAAGCTGGAAGCCATGCTATTTATACAATTAACATAGTCATAAGTCACAGGAGTGCCATTGTTTGTCACCGGGGAGGGACGGCATGGTGGCTCAGTTCTGGATGCAGAGTAGTGCGTCTGTTTCAGGAATACGATACAGGGTTTGTTTAAGGTTTCTGGGAAATGTGAAAATCATTTCTTTTGTCCATTTCTTGTGTTCCTGTGCTCCAGTTTCCAGAATTGTGAAATATTTTGTCAAAAGACATGCTCACAATTTTTCTTTGCTTGCATGAGCCCGTGCCAGAGATGAAAGGACTAGCAGTGAAATGACGTTACCGCTACAAACCTTCTATTCAACTATCAGAATTTTAACTTTCCCACGAAGCTGTGAAAAATCAGTATGAAGGTATCTCTATCTCAGCATTATATTCACGAAACAAACAAAATTAAAACTTAAAAATTAAAATAGCCACTGTAGAGAAATATGAACACATAAAACTGGGAAGCAATCTGTTTCAATCTGTTCATGGCCACATGGTGGCGCTGCAGGCTAAAGAGACACGAGGAAAATTAACTGAGGCTGCACCAGAAGTCACCAACCAAAGAAGGATAACACTGACCACCGGGAGAAAAGCCAAGGCGCTTCAAGACCGAGAAGGGGAAAAAAACCTAGACATTTCCAGTTAAGTGGAACATCTGAGGTTTATGACTGCTGGGAGCGGTGGCTGACCTGAAGTGAAGAAAGAAGAAACAATGGCAGCCAGAACATCAGGCTTCCCCAGACAAAGGCGAGTGCTATTTCTCTTTCTGATCGGGGGTCTATGTTTGGCAGGCTCTGAGTTTGGACCTTACTCAGTAACCGAGGAAACAGAAAGGGGATCATTTGTGGCGAATCTGGCAAAGGACCTGGAGCTAGCGGTGGAAACCCTGGCTGCAAAGAGAACTAGGGTGGTTTCTGACGGCAACAAGCAGCATTTGCTCCTGGATTTACACACGGGAAATTTGCTCACAAATGAGAAACTGGATCGGGAGGAGATGTGTGGCCCCACAGAGCCCTGCATACTGTATTTCCAAATTTTAATGGATTACCCCTTTCAGATTTACCGGGCTGAGCTGAGAATTGTGGATATAAATGACCACTCACCCTCATTCCAAGACAAAGAGATGATTTTAAAAATACCAGAAAACACAGCTGTAGGAGCAGCATTTCGCTTAGAAAGAGCACTAGACTCAGATGGAGGACGTAATGGCATCCAAAACTATACCATCAGCCCCAACTCTGTTTTTCATATTGCAGTTCAGAGCAATGATGAAGGGGTGATATTTTCAGAGCTGGTGCTAGATAAACCTCTAGACTGGGAGGAGGAGCAGGAGCTCAGGTTAACACTCACAGCATTTGATGGAGGGTCGCCACCCAGGTCCGGAACAGCCACTATACACATTCTGGTCATGGACATCAATGATAATGCCCCAAGGTTTCCCCAGGAACTTTATCAAACACAGACTGCAGAAAATAGCCCAGTAGGACTTCCACTTGTTAAGGTCTCTGCAGAAGATGTAGACTCGGGAGTCAATGCAGAAGTTTCCTATTCATTTTTTGATGCTTCCGAAGATATTCGAGCAACTTTTCAAATCAATCCTTTCTCTGGAGAAATCATGCTCAAAGCCTTGCTTGATTATGAGATGGTAAAGTCCTATAAGCTAAATATACAGGCAGTCGATGGTGGGGGCCTTTCTACTAGATGTACGGTTTTAGTTCATGTTTTAGACATCAATGACAATCCCCCTGAAGTGATCATATCATCACTTGTCAACGAAGTTGTTGAGAACGCTCCCGAAACTGTGCTGTCAGTTTTTAGGATTAATGACAGAGACTCTGGAGAAAATGGAGAGACCGTTTGCTACATTCAAGAAAATCTGTCGTTCAGTCTAAAACCCTCTGTAGATAATTTTTACATCCTGATGACAGAAAGAGCTCTGGACAGAGAGAGCAGAGCTGAGTACAACATCACCATCACAGTCACCGACCTGGGCACACCCAGGCTCACAACCCAGCACACCATAACAGTGCAGGTGTCTGACGTCAACGACAACGCCCCCGCCTTCACACAAACCTCCTACACCCTGTTTGTCCAGGAGAACAACAGCCCCGCCCTGCACATAGGCACCATCAGCGCCACAGACTCAGACTCAGGCTCCAATGCCCGCATCACCTACTCGCTGCTGCCTGCCCACGACTCGCAGCTGGCCCTGGACTCGCTCATCTCCATCAATGCCAACAACGGGCAACTGTTCGCGCTCAGGGCTCTGGACTATGAGGCCCTGCAGACCTTCGAGTTCCGCGTGGGCGCCACAGACCAAGGCTCGCCTGCGCTCAGCAGCCAGGCTCTGGTGCGCGTGCTTGTGCTGGATGCCAACGACAATGCGCCCTTCGTGCTCTACCCGCTGCAGAATGCATCTGTGCCCTGCACAGAGCTGCTGCCCAGGGCAGCGGAGCCAGGATACCTGGTCACCAAGGTGGTGGCTGTGGACCGCGACTCTGGCCAGAATTCCTGGCTGTCGTTCCAGCTGCTCAAGGCCACTGAGCCAGGGCTGTTCAGCGTGTGGGCTCACAATGGCGAGGTGCGCACCTCCAGGCTGCTGAGTGAGCGCGATGCTCCCAAGCACAGGCTGCTGCTGCTGGTCAAGGACAATGGCGACCCTCCCAGGTCTGCCAGTGTCACTCTGCATGTGCTGCTGGTGGATGGCTTCTCTCAGCCCTACCTGCCTCTGCCCGAGGTGGCGCGTGACTCTGTCCCCGATGAGGATGTGCTCACACTGTACCTGGTCATCGCCTTGGCATCTGTGTCTTCGCTCTTCCTCTTGTCTATGCTGCTGTTCGTGGGGGTGAGGCTGTGCAGGAGGGCCAGGGCGGCTTCTCTGGGTGGCTGCTCTTTGCCTGAGGGACACTTTCCTGGTCATCTGGTGGATGTCAGCGGGGCGGGGACCCTGCCCCAGAGCTACCAGTATGAGGTGTGTCTGATGGGTGGCTCTACTGATACCGGTGATTTCAAGTTCTTGAAACCAATTTATCCTGATGTTCATGCTCATGGTTCCCAGATTAATTGTGAAGGTTTCAATTTTGAGTAATGTTTCATTCCATTTAACGTATGACACAGCCGTATGGGTTCTAGTTTAGTTGTGCAGTAGTTTCGGCCCAACACAGCACATCTTCATTTTTAACTTTTAAACGGGTTATATATAAAAATGTTTTTCCATTAGTGATATTTAGTAGAGTATATACCACTTTAAATCTGAGGTTTTGATTCTTTCGTAGCGCACAATAATTTGTTGTCATTTCTCATTATGGAAAATTGATATTTGAGGGTTTTGTCTGGTTTTCTTTTGTTGCTAATTGTCAACCCCAAGCCTTTTGCATGCTAAGCAAGTGCTATATCATTGAGCTCTGTCTCTAGCCAGTAACTTTTAAAAGTATAGCATTTTAACTCTCTTTGACTTTGTGCCAACTTCATGTGTTTATGTTGTGCATTTCGTTTCTTGTAGCCTGCTCCATCTCCCTGCAACTCCTATTACTTCCCTCTACTCCCTTACAAGTCCCTTCCTATTGTGTACGATTCTGAGTATCCTGATAATTCTGTGTTAGCACACTAATCAGCAGGATTCAGCATGACTTCGACAAACGCAGGTGCCATTCATTCCTAACCTCTGCTGCTCCCCTGGTCCCCTCCTTTTCCCTGCAAGTCTCCCTCTCTGCTTTCTCATCAAAATTGTTTCGTTAGCTTTCTTTCTCCCCTTCCTCATTCTTAGACATATAAAACAGAATGTGTCATATAATGCAAATACAATGTAATAGTCTGCACGAATATCAACCTAAATTTGAACACATTAAAAATTTTGTGTGACAATATTTATGGACTGTTGGAATGATACTTTTCATTTTATATTGGAACTTAAAGAACTGGAAATTTAGAAATTGAGATAAATTAAAGGTTATAGAGAAAATAATTTTTTATCTCCAGTCCCTTTCTATACAGCTGTTCTTCAAATTTGATATACTTCCAGATGATGTTTAGACCCCTTTATCTTGATAATCAAATTTTCTGTGTTACCCATTTACTGCAAAAGGATTTACAGTCCTTATTTCCCATTAGTAGACACACATACAAAAGTTGCGAATTTCCCTTCTCCTAGTTTCCTGATAATATTGTCAGAAAATGTTGTCAGTTTTGTTTCTATAGGTTCCAAGGCCTCGTAGATGAGTACTATCCCTGAAATGAAGCTAGTATTAATGTCCACCTAGCTAGGTCTCTTATGCATGCAGACTTAGTAGTGCAGTATTATTACATTGCCTCTCTTGAAAGCATCTTTCCCAGAGCTGATGCCTGCTGTTTTAGATTCGGCTAAACATCTGTTTACTGAGAGTGATTTTTCTGCACCTCTCTATCCAGGCTGAGTGAGTGAATAAAGTAGTGAGTTACCATAAGATGTACCCTCCATTCTTCCTACTAATTTTTCACATCAGAGTCCTCTTGAAATATTAAGGGTTTTTTGCCTTCAAATATTCAAATATAATATTTGTGTTTATTTCCTACAGATCTTTCATTCATAGCTCCTTCATTTAGACTGTTTATCTTATGGGTGTCATGCTTATTATTATTTTTATTTGATTAACTTTTATTTATTTTACCTGCCAACCACAGTTTCCCTTCCCTCCTATCTTCCCATCCCCTACCCACCAACTGCTATATACCTCCTCCCCATCCACTCCCTCTCCAGTTCCCTTAAGAAAGGGGCAGGTCTCACATGGGCTTGAACCTATAGTACCTCAAGTTGAGGCAGGACTGAGCTCCTCCCCCTGCATAAAAGCCTAAAGGGGTAACCCAGCATGGGAACAGGTTCCTCATCGCCAGGGGGTTGTTCTGATCTCACTGCTAGGAGCCTTACAAACAGAACACAGAACACGCCACACAATTGCCACACACAGGTGGATGGCCTAGGTTTGTCCCATGCAGACTCCCTAACTGCTGGTCCAGAGTCCATGTTCTCCCACTAACTCAGACCAGCATTCTCTGTGTGCCCCTCCAGCATGACTTTGAGCCCCTTGGCTCATAAAATCCCTCCTCCCTTTCTTCAGGAGGACTCCAGGAGCTCAGCCCAGTCCTGGGCTATTGATCTCTGTATCTGCTTCCATCAGTTACTGGATAAAGAATCTCTGGTGACAATTATGGTAGTCACCAATCTGATTCCAGTAGATGGACAGTCCAGGCACCCTTTCCACAAGGATGACTCCAGCTAATGCCACAAACAATAGTGGAGGTTATGTCATGCTTTTAATGCTTGCCCCCCACTGCCCACCTTTTATAGAATCCAGTATCATTTCTGAGTTTACTTTCTTACTTGGTTGGAACCCAACTTCATTAAAATAGATGCAACTTTTGGCACTTTACATAGTGAAGTAACCTTTTCATTTAATTGATAGTTTGACTGGGTATAAAAATATAATTTGAAAAATGCTCCCCCTCCCAGAATTAAAAAGCACTTTTATTTTTCTTAATTTTGTAGAATCGCCTTTCACAAGGATCATTCCCATCTAAGTTGCATCTCATTTTCTTCAATATTTTTCCCACTCATTATGGAGGTATTGGGAACTTATCCTCAGTAGTCTGTAAGAACTGCTTCGTTGTTAACCTTTTCATAAGGATATGTACTGTCAGTATTCAGACTCTCAGTTCACAAACAATTTCATTTTATTTTGCTGTAATTTATCTCCCATATTTTCTAAACTTTTTGATTAAATATCTGACCAACTGAACTGGTTGTGTAAGATCCTAAGCATGTTTCTTTTTCTATTTCACATTTGTCTCTGGTTCCACTTTCTTGCACCAATCATTTAATCATTTAATCTTTATATGTAAGCTTTCCTTTTAGGCAGATAAACACTTTTAGAACCTTTTTTTGTTCTTCTAATTTTTTATACAGCATTCTTGGAAATGTAATACATGTTCTTATCTTTAATTTGTCCTTTGACTATATTACCAAGATATACTTGTACAGAACTATTAACATTACTTAGTCATTTTAAAAATTAAGAGTGAGTCAGGTAGCTGAAGAAATTTACCAAAATTGTATAGTTTTACAGGACATTTAAGTCCCCTAATCTATTCTGTTTTCTTTTTTTAACTCTTGAAGCGGGGTCTCAAATATTAGTACAGGGTAGCCTCAAATATGAAATCTTCATTACTCTGCCTCTTGAGTATTGGGACTACGGGTGTTATGTAGTCAGACCCCCAACATCAGTAAGTGTAAGAATTTACTTGTGCTTAACCATTTCCAGGTTAGAATTCTGATATGGTGTGAGATTATGTATCTGAGATAGACCTTGCGTTCTACACTCCATTGCTACAGCAGAGACTCGAAATATCACTATTTAAAACTCTGAAATTCTACTTTCTTTTAGTTTAACTTCACACTTTTGTTAAGCATTACTTGTGTGTCAAAAACTAGAGAAAGTTTGCTAATCTCTCCAAATCAAGTGTCCATTCTCTACCATGAGTTATTTTCTGTCTCTGTAGACACAGAGAACAGAGAATTCAACACTACTGTAAATACAAACAATAAATTCTCATCTCTTGATTAACTTTAATCTTGCAGTTTCTAGAATGTGTATGGTGTTCTGGGAGACAAACATGTTAATTGCCCTATCTCCAGTGATGGCATTTTTGCCATTTCCTGGAAAGTCGTAGTAAGTTTCATCCATCTGCTTTCTGTCATTAAACACATCTGGGTTGTCTTTTTGCATTTAATTTTGTGAGTTCTCAATATTGTTACTTTCCTACCAGCTTCAGGGGTATTTCAAAGGCAGAAGGATAACTGCATATTACCAGCAGACCTACCTTTCAGTTTCTATCTTTTATGCTAGTTTTTTTCTTTTTCAACTATAGCTAGAACTTAAATTTTTAAAAATTCAATTCACACATTTTCAACTCTGACTCTTCCATCCATTCCTGGGTACTTTCGGAACTTTCAATTGTGGACATCATTGATGTGCTTCTAGTGTCAATTCTCAACAGTCTCCTCCTTCAGTAGCAATCATGAACTTCAGTTAGGGTTACCCACAAGTTTAAGACATGATGCTTGTTGGGGTCTTTAGGCTCTGTGACTACAAGCCATCCCTACGATGGTATATTTGAGTAACTGTATATTGAGTCGCTAGCCAGACATGACATTAACTGGTTTCTTCAGAGGTTAGATTTTTGTTCTCTTTAGGAAAGCAAATCTCTCTCTCCCTCTTTTCTCCATGAGCTGCTGTTCATTGTTGGGAGAATACTCTGGGCACCTGAGATCAGCATTAGAAGTAAGAGTGTGCTTCACACAAAACAGCTGACATCGGTATCTGCGTGCCACTTACTGAATTTTTGTTCCTTGCAAGAAACTGGAACAGTACTATGAATTTTTATAACATGCTCCTTAATGTGTACCATCTCCTGGCTAACCCAGTTTCATAATCCTACCAGAACCTCTGAAACTCTCCAAGGACACTTTATCCTTCCCTTTCCAACTAATCAAGGCCCAGTAGGAAGGGATGTGCTAAACCTAACAATATTATATTCCTGAGACACTTAACAAATGTTTTAAAAACAAATACTGACATCAGCGTGAGCTATAGAGAACGCCGATGAAAACTATACTAGTAACCACATAAACAATAAACATTTGTTTCTGGGGCCAGTCGATGTAAATGGAAATTAAGCAGCACTCATGGAACTGTGAAAACCGGAGAAGACACATGGTGGCGCTGCAGGATAACGCTACGGAAAAGAAATCACATTAAATCCTGCGGACACCCAGCCCCGGTGAGAACGGGAAACTAGGAAGAAATCACAAGTCATGGAGGTGCCGCCAAGAAACCGTTTATCCTTCGGATTCTGAGGATTCCGTGGACAAATCAAGGGACACGTTTTACAGAACTGCGTGGTAGAGCAGAAAGGGTTCATTCAGAAGCCTGCGGGAAAGGAGCAATGGAGAACCCAGGGGCAAGCTGTCTGCAGACAAGGCAAGTCCTGCTTCTCTTTGTTTTGCTGGGAATGGCTCCAGCACACGCTGAGCCTGGGAGACTTGACATGGTGGAGGAGATGCTGAGTGGGGCCTTGGTAGGCAATCTGGTAAAGGACCTGGGGCTCGAGGTGGGTGAACTGTCTTCACGGGGGGCTCAAGTGGTCTCTAAAGATAGCAAACTGCCTTTGCAATTGAACATAAATACAGGAGATCTGCTCCTAAGCGAGCCTCTAGACAGGGAGGAGATGTGTGGCTCCACCGAGCCCTGCCTGCTGCATTTCCAGGTGTTAATGAAAAACCCCTTACAGATTTTGCAAGTTGAGCTTCAGGTCAGGGATATCAATGACAACTCCCCCATATTCTTGGAAAACAAAATGGTTCTAGAAATCCCAGAAAATAGCCCTGTTGGTGCTGTGTTCTTCCTAGAAAGTGCGACAGATTTAGATGTAGGAACCAATGCTGTGAAAAATTATGTGATAAGTCAGAACTCCCATTTTCACATTACAACCAGAGTTAATCCTGATGGCAGGAAATACCCAGAGTTAGTTTTGGACAAGGCACTGGATTACGAGGAGCAGCCGGAGCTCAGTCTCATCCTCACTGCCTTGGATGGTGGGACTCCACCCAGGTCTGGGACTGCCTTGGTTCAGGTGGAAGTCATAGATACTAATGACAACCCCCCCGAGTTTGAGCACATGTTCTATGAAGTGAAGATTCCAGAGAATAGTATCCTTGGCTCACTGGTTATCACTGCATCGGCATGGGATCTAGACTCCGGAATTAATGGTGAATTATCATATACCTTTATCCATGCATCAGAGGATACTAGAAAAACGTTTTCAATTAATAAAAACTCTGGAGAAATACGTTTAATAGGATATTTGGACTTTGAAACAACTGAATCCTACTCAATAATTGTTAAAGCTACAGATCGGGGAGGACTTTTTGGGAAATGTACAGTAAGAATTCAGGTGATGGATGTGAATGACAATTATCCTGAAATTTCTGTGTCATCATTTATCAGTCCAATCCCAGAAAATACACTGGATACTTTAGTTATGGTTTTTAGTATCAAAGACAAGGATTCGGGAGAAAACAGCAGGATGGTTTGTTCTATTCCGGAGGACCTCCCGTTTGTGCTAAAGTCTTCAATTGAAAATTATTATCACTTAGAAACGGAGGGAGCACTGGACAGAGAGAACAGAGCTGAGTACATCACCATCACAGTCACCGACCTGGGCACACCCAGGCTCACAACCCAGCACACCATAACAGTGCAGGTGTCTGACGTCAACGACAACGCCCCCGCCTTCACACAAACCTTCTACACCCTGTTTGTCCAGGAAAACAACAACCCCGCCCTGCACATAGGCACCATCAGCGCCACAGACTCAGACTCAGGCTCCAATGCCCGCATCACCTACTCGCTGCTGCCCGCCCACGACCCGCAGCTGGCCCTGGACTCGCTCATCTCCATCAATGCGGACAACGGGCAGCTGTTCGCGCTCAGGGCTCTGGACTATGAGGCTCTGCAGACTTTCGAGTTCCGCGTGGGCGCCACAGACCAAGGCTCGCCCGCTCTCAGCAGTCAAGCGCTGGTGCGTGTGCTCGTGCTGGACGCCAACGACAATGCGCCCTTCGTGCTCTACCCGCTGCAGAATGCATCTGTGCCCTGCACAGAGCTGCTGCCCAGGGCGGCGGAGCCAGGATACCTGGTCACCAAGGTGGTGGCAGTGGACCGCGACTCTGGCCAGAACTCCTGGCTGTCGTTCCAGCTGCTCAAGGCCACTGAGCCAGGGCTGTTCAGCGTGTGGGCTCACAATGGCGAGGTGCGCACCTCCAGGCTGCTGAGTGAGCGCGATGCTCCCAAGCACAGGCTGCTGCTGCTGGTCAAGGACAATGGCGACCCTCCCAGGTCTGCCAGTGTCACTCTGCATGTGCTGCTGGTGGATGGCTTCTCTCAGCCCTACCTGCTTCTGCCTGAGGTGGCAAGCAACTCTGTCCAGGATGAGGATGCACTCACGCTGTATCTGGTCATCGCCTTGGCATCTGTATCTTCGCTCTTCCTCTTGTCTGTGCTGTTGTTCGTGGGGGTGAGGCTGTGCAGGAGGGCCAGGGCGGCCTCTCTGGGTGGCTGCTCTTTGCCTGAGGGACACTTTCCTGGTCACCTGGTGGATGTCAGCGGCACGGGGACCCTGTCCCAGAGCTACCAGTATGAGGTGTGTCTGATGGGAGGTACTGGCACAAACGAGTTCAAATTTCTGAAGCCAATTGCCCCCAATCTCCCATCCCAGTTCCCTGGGAAAGACATTGAGGAAAATCCTACTCTTTACAATAGTTTGGCATTATTTAATGACCATAACTGAGGCTACTTCTTATGTATTCCATCTTATGGCTATTCCAACACAAGGAGTATTTCTCCCAATTTGCATGATCTTCAAATCTCCTATTGTCTGCATTTTATTTTGTTCCATCCACTTTTCAGTTTATGTCAGCACTGGTAGTAAGACTGTAACTTATTTTGAGGCCGGGTCTCTAGGATGTTCGAACTTGTAAGGAGTTTTCCTCTTTAACACAAACTTGCCCTGCGTCGTCTTTCCAGCTGTAGTCTCTCCTTCGCTTTGCTTACGATGAAATAAACAGACCACTTCAGGAACAGTCGAAATGTTCAAGCACCCCTTTCCTTGACTCTCTTTTTTGTGGTTTTCCTTGTGTCTTCTTATTATCGATGCTATTTGCAAGTAAGTTTATTTTTAAAATCACTCTAGTGTAGATATTATGTTTAAATGTTTGTTGCTATTGACAATAATGATACATTGGGAAATTTATTCTATGATGTAACCATTAAACTTGTTGAAAAGGAGCCCATAGTGAGTTTGGGGATGGCTCAGTGATAGGTCCCTGTATAGATCACAGCACAAAATAAGCAAGTGGGGACAGTGGTAATCTTCTTAATAACTCTATTTTATGTGTCCTGGAAGGTGGCTAGGGAGGCACATACTGTGGCCACTTAAAGAATCTTAGATATGAGGCCTTAATTTTGCATGTGTCTTACTAATGTCACAAAGACAGAATGTAAGCCAGGTGTCCATAGGCACCTAAACTATAGTTTAGATAGAAGAAAGCAAGCCTGTGAGATAATATATAAACTTGTTTATGTTCTCCCTGAAATAAATGAGCATGCACTGAGTACTAATTCACACATAAAATTATGCCATATGTGTATTATCCAACATTCAAACCTAACAGGAAGAAATGTTTTGTTCTCAGTGCTTAGTCTATTGTGAACTTGAAACTTCCTATTTTATTCCATTGCTTAAACTTCCTGATATGGAAACATGCTGCTGACCACTTTACTTTGGATGTATGAAAGTGTCATATATGTGTAGCACTGAGAAGTTTGATGAGATCATCATTTAGATTCTAGTTTAAAAATTAAATTCAACTTCCACAAAGGGGAGTTTATCTTGTGTTGAGAAGGACCAGCTTACAATAGTTATTGCCCTTAGTGGTCTGACACCACTACAGGGAAAAATAAAATGTGGGAGAGATGAAGTTCCTGTGAGTTTCCTAAAAAATCTAAAGTCTGTATTATAGAAGGAGGAAAATGTCAATTATGATAATATTGTAACTATATTTTAAAGGACATTGGTAAGTAGAAATAATGAGTATTTAGAGATAAACAGTCTATGTGAAAATTGCTTTTGAATATTCTAGATAGATGTATTTACAAATTGTTTAAAGAGAATAAATATTAAATGAAAGAATTCACAAAGACACATGGTGGCGCTATAGGATAAGATGAGACAGTACTTAACGAGCTCTGAGGGCTCAGCCATCCAGAGGATGAGAGAATAGCCAATCCATTGAGAAGGGAGGTATTACAGGAGCTTCACTGACAGAGCTGCCAAGGGATTTTCAACAGAAAAATCGGACCTTCGTCTCTCAAAATTGGGACCAAATTTAATTCTGCAACAAAGGAGGTTGACTGCAGGCACTATGGGAACTAGAAGGACACTCACTCTGTGGAAAAGGCAAGTCTTGGTTTTCTTTGTTTTTCTGGGATTGTCTCGGGTGAGTACTGGATCTTTGCACTATTCTGTAGAGGAGGAAACAGAAATTGGCTCTTTTGTGGCTAACCTGGCAAGGGATCTGGGCCTGGGGGTTGTGGAGCTGTCTTCTAGGGAGGCAAGAGTAGTGTCCGATGATAATAAAAAGCATTTACACCTTAATTTGATGACCGGAGATATGCTCCTGAGTGAGAGACTGGACCGGGAGGAGCTGTGTGACTCCATCCAGCCCTGTGTGCTGCCTTTTCAGGTGGTGCTGGAAAATCCTCTACAGTTTTACCAAGCTGAGCTGCATGTCACAGATATAAATGATCATTCCCCTACATTCCTGGACAAGGAAATATCTATTAAAATACCAGAAAGTGCGACTATCGGATCCACATTCCTAATTGAGAACGCGCAAGATCTGGACATAGGAAGCAACAGTCTCCACAAGTACAGCATTAGCCCCAATTCTCATTTCTACATTAAAATTAATGACAGTGGCAATGGAAAAATATATCCCGAGCTGGTTCTAGACAGAGCTTTAGATCATGAGGAGGAAAGTGAGCTTCGGTTGACACTTACAGCACTGGATGGTGGGTCTCCACCCAGGTCTGGGACAATATCCATTTTCATAAAGGTCTTGGACATCAATGATAATGCTCCTGAGTTTGCCCAGAGTTTCTATGAGGTGCAGGTCCCAGAGGACATGCCCATTGGTTCCAGTATTATTGCTATCTCTGCTAAAGATTTAGATTTAGGAAATTATGGCATAATATCATATTCATTTTTGCATGCACCAGAAAGCATTAGAAAAACCTTCAACATCAACCCAACTTCTGGGGAAGTCAACTTGAGATCACTACTAGATTTTGAAGTAATACAGTCCTATTCTGTAAATATCCAAGCAACAGATGGTGGAGGTCTTTCAGCAAAATGCACTCTTTCAGTCAAAGTATTGGATATAAATGACAATGCTCCAGAAGTGACTATATCATCAATTGCAAAGACAATTCCAGAGAATGCTTCGGAGACCCTGGTTGCTCTTTTCAGTGTCCGAGATCAAGACTCTGGGGACAACGGAAGGATTCTTTGCTCTGTTCAAGACGATCTTCCATTTATCCTGAAGCCCACCTTCAAGAACTTTTTCACTCTACTTTCTGAAAAGGCACTGGACAGAGAGAGCAGAGCTGAGTACAACATCACCATCACAGCCACCGACCTGGGCACACCCAGGCTCACAACCCAGCACACCATAACAGTGCAGGTGTCTGACGTCAACGACAACGCCCCCGCCTTCACACAAACCTTCTACACCCTGTTTGTCCAGGAAAACAACAGCCCCGCCCTGCACATAGGCACCATCAGCGCCACAGACTCAGACTCAGGCTCCAATGCCCGCATCATCTACTCGCTGCTGCCTGCCCACGACCCGCAGCTGGCCCTGGACTCGCTCATCTCCATCAATGCGGACAACGGGCAGCTGTTCGCGCTCAGGGCTCTGGACTATGAGGCTCTGCAGACTTTCGAGTTCCGCGTGGGCGCCACAGACCAAGGCTCGCCTGCGCTCAGCAGCCAGGCGCTGGTGCGTGTGCTTGTGCTGGACGCCAACGACAATGCGCCCTTCGTGCTCTACCCGCTGCAGAATGCATCTGCGCCCTGCACAGAGCTACTGCCCAGGGCGGCGGAGCCAGGATACCTGGTCTCCAAGGTGGTGGCAGTGGACAGCGACTCTGGCCAGAACTCCTGGCTGTCATTCCAGCTGCTCAAGGCCACAGAGCCAGGGCTGTTCAGCGTGTGGGCTCACAATGGCGAGGTGCGCACCTCCAGGCTGCTGAGTGAGCGCGATGCTCCCAAGCACAGGCTGCTGCTGCTGGTCAAGGACAATGGCGACCCTCCCAGGTCTGCCAGTGTCACTCTTCATGTGCTGCTGGTGGATGGCTTCTCTCAGCCCTACCTACCTCTGCCCGAGGTGGTGCGCGACTCTGTCCCCGATGAGGATGCACTCACGCTGTACCTTGTCATTGCCTTGGTGTCTGTGTCTTTGCTCTTCCTCATGTCTCTGCTGCTGTTCGTGGGGGTGAGGCTGTGCAGGAGGGCCAGGGCGGCCTCTCTGGGTGGCTGCTCTGTGCCTGAGGGACACTTTCCTGGTCACCTGGTGGATGTCAGTGGTGCGGAGACCCTGTCCCAGAACTACCAATATGAGGTGTGTCTGATGGGAGGTACAGGGACAAACGAGTTCAAATTTCTGAAGCCGGTCATCCCCAGTCTTCAACTCCACGAAGCCAGTTCTAACATGCAGGAAAATGAAAACTTTAGGAATAGTCTTGGATTTAATTTTCAGTAAAAATCTCCTTTATGCTATTAATATTTTCCTTTTATTAATCGATTGCAGATTCTCTTTTTTCTTAGTCTTTAATGGATTTCAGATTTTATTGACGTTGCATGCGTTTTTATTTCACATGTTTTCCTCACAGTTGTTTTTAAAACTTTATGAGGCTGGAGTGATGTAAAGAAACATTCTGCAGCCTTTGCTTATTCTTGTTGTAGTTGTATGTTAACGGTTCTGCTGTTTGTTACACAAGACCCAGAGATGGAAACGCTGACCTAAGCACTGAGAGTAAATGTGTTGAGCTGCTGGTTACTGCCCCTGTGGAATCCACATGCAGGCAGCTCTGGGTGAATCTACAACAGGAGGAAGGGGGTAGGGGACTAAAAAGGAGCAAGTATACGAGAGTTATTTGAATATACTATTAAATCCCAGCAAGCAGAATTTTTAAATATTGCTGCACCTGGGTAGAAATTATAGTGTGTCATTTGTACTATTTTCCCTTCAATTTTTTTCATCGTAAAAGATTTAAAATGCCACCCCTCCATATACAGTCGTAGAGGCCTTTGTGTCCTAGTGTTTCATAACCTGTAATTTTTCCTTATCTATTTTCTAATAATGCTTTCTAATTCTCAAAATATTATAGGTCTTGATACTGCTGTTTTCTTGTTTTTAAATACACCATTTCGTTGGCTCGGTTAAAATTAGTGGTATTCTATACCATTTATTGCTAAAGCAGATAATAAGGTCATAATCTTGTTCTAAGTAAAATAGTCTTTTGCCATAAAAGAGCAGTATAAAAACTCCCTAGGAATTAAAATAAAGACTTTTAAGCGATTTATTTTCTATTTTATGTGCACTGATACTTTGCCTGCATGCATGTCTCTGTGAGGATGTTGAATCCCCTGCACCTGTAATTACAGAGAGTTGTGAGTTATCATGTTGTTCCTGGGAATTGAATTTGGGGCCTCTGGAAAAGCTGCCAATGCTCTTATTTACTGAGCTATCTCTCTAGCCACTGAAATAAAATTTTAAAATGCTAAAAAGACTTTTATGTACTCTTCCTCGCCATTTGTAAAAGTAATATAAGCCAATCATGGAAGCACAAATCTTTAATGCCATTCCTTGGCATCTGGGAATGGAGAATAATCAGTTAAGCATTGCTTTGGCCTACACAGTAAGAGCTTTCCTTAAATGGAAGTAAAGAAAGAAACAGGACCTGATATGCTGGCATATTTCTATGATACAGGCACCTGAAAGACTGGATTGAATGTAAAGCCAACCTGAGCTCTGACACGCATTCTCAAAAGTTAAAAAGAAACAGTGGAGAAGTAGAATTGGAATCCTCACACTAGAGACGCTGAGGCAGAAGGCTGTCATAAATTGGCAGGACTTATGATATGACATGGCAGGACACCCATGCTATGCAGTGCATGCAATACCAGCCTCTGCTGCAGACTGAGACTCTGTTTCTAAATAACCCACTACAAATATAAGTATAATGTCTAGTTGTGTGGGCTTCACTCTCAACTCTCAGCAAAACAGTAAATAAGGGAATGTGTACACACGGAGCAATTTAGATACTCCAAGTTCAATTTTCAGCATGCACAGAAAAGTAACTTCAAAATATTATTAATACTTTGTGGTCTCTGAGATAGTCACAAAGAATAGGTCTATGTTTATGATTGGTAAATGCCTCATATTTCAAATTGTAAGGTCATAATTCTGTGGATGGACAGTTCAGTGGAGGAGTGCAGACAGGGGTGTTGATAGCTACAATGCAGTGTGGGTATATAGATAACATTAGAAATCCACGTCTGCATTCACGGGAAGCAATTAGCTTTTAAGACACTAGTATATACACCTGGCAGTTGTGGAGCTCATTAAAACACTAGTATATACACTGGGCAGTGGTGGCGCTCACCTTTAATCCCAGCACCTGGGAAGCAGAGGCAGGTGGATCTTTGTGAGGTTGAGTGCAGCCTGCTCTACAGAGTGAGTTCCAGGGCAGCCAGGACTGTACAGAAAAACCCTGTCTTGAAAAAAAAGGACACTGGTAGATTATCAACTCAAATTTCTTGTTAAAATGTAGAAAAATAGATCATTTCAAAGTGTAAATTTTCCTGGGGCCATTTAGAATCTTGGGAAATTCAAACCTTCATGTCAATGATTTATATAATGGAAACCAAATAAACTGAGTCATTTACAGAATCCCTTCCCATTAGTCAGCATGGATCCTTAAAAGCAGCATCTGTAAGATAAGAGTAAACTGGAATTTCATTAGCCCTTTTGTATTTTAGCCTTGAACTTGACTTTGTAGCCTTAAACTTAATTATCACTGACAAGCTAATTAGGTCCTAATAAAATTAAATGCAAGTTTATACAAAATAAATTATGCCCCAAACTGGGTGGTGTCAGTGAACGCCTTTAATCCCAGAACTCAAGAGGCAGAGGCAGGAGGATTTCTGTGAGTTCAAGGTCTACAGAGCAAGTTCCAGGACAGGCTCCAAAGCTACACAGAGAAACCTACCTTGGAAAAGCAAGCAAGCAAACAAACGAACAAACAATTCCATAAGCATAGATTATTCACCCTAGTGCTTTGCATTGTAACACTCTATATTTGACAACTGCTTACTCTAGGAAACATAAAACCATGAATGAGAATCAGCAGGAAACAAAACAATGTTAAAGATACCATCATTACCAAGCAATCCTCAATATACTAAGCATGTTAACTGAAACAGAAGGTAACCTTGAAAACGTACGGGTAACAAAAAAAAATCTGTAAAATACAACAGATGGGGAGCTAGAGAGATTGACTCCAGCAGTAAGAGTAGGAATTGCATTCCCATTACCCACGCCTGGCTGCTCAACTGTACCTCTAGATCCGGGGAAACTGGCTCCCTCTTCTGGCCTCTGGCAGCACCTGCACTCACACAGGCATATACCCACATGAAGACACACTAACATGACATATTCGGTAAGGACAAAATTAAGCTTCCATAACGTAAAACATATTAATCAAAAACCAAAATTTAAAACAGTATAGAAAACAATAAAAACACAGTAAAATGTTTAGCCACATAAAAGATGTTCAAATACAATTCATACATTATATAACTCAGAAAATTAATACAATGAAAACACAAGAGGAGATGATTAAAAAACATGGGGTAGAGTTTTTTAGTTTTTTTGAGGCAGAATTTCTCTGTGAAGACCTGGCCAGCCTGTCCTTGAACTTGGAGATCTGCCTGCCTAAGCCTCTTGAGTACTGGGGTTAAAGGTGTGGACTATCGCTGCCTAGTAAGACAGATGAGCAAATTTTAACCAGAACAGTATTTGAAGAAAGACTGGGGGACTTCTAGAATTAGTGAAACATCAGCAAACAAATCTAAGAGATTGCTATAAATCTAAAAGAATACATTGCAGAGATGCTGTGTCTATAGACGTTGTAATGAAATTTCATAAGATTAAAGAAAAAGAGAAATTTTATTTAAAAAACACAGGAAAGAGAAATTTAACTTCAACACATGACCATTACACTATCTAATCTGATTCATGTTTCTCAGTAAAAGCAATGGAAAATAAGAAACCTTCAATGTGCTAACAGAAATTAGCAAAACATTCTATCTGGTCTCTTTATAGAGTCATCAAAGGAGAAAACTGAACAAACTTGATAACATTTCCATTTCACTTAGTAAAGATCACAGGGAAGGGCAGTATAAATACATTCTCTTTTATTGACCCATACCTAGTCACAGATGAGGTCTAGGAGTTTGACCTTCTCAGTTTCTAGCCCTTAGCCACAGTCTTTCTCTCCTCTTCTCTTGATAAAGTATCACAGGGTGGTCCAGACTGGCTTCAAACTGGTGATTCCCATGCCTCAGCTTCTCCAGTACAAGAATTATGTGTGGTGATATCTTGCTTGCACAAATAAAGCCTGTCTGAAGGTCAGAGAATGGAGCTTGCCACTAGCTAACCATAGAGGTCTGGGGGTCTGTACAGACAGACAGCAAGTAAGCTAGCTGGGCAGAAACAGGATATAAATAGAAACAGGAACTCTCTCTTATCTGCTGAGACTTGAAGGAGGTAAGGTATGGTGGTGGCTTGCTCCTTCTCTCTGCTCTCTCATCATTTTCCTCTATATCTGACTCTGGGTTTTTATTATCTAGACCAACTAAGAACTCCATTTACAGTTATGAGTGTATATGATCATTCCTGATTCCACATACATTTCTACTCTAAAATGTCAACACAGGACCACAAGTACTTTCTGGAAGTGGTAGTCTCTTATGGCTGTATAGTCTCTCCTGTCTTCCGTGTCACTGCGCCCCCCCACCAACAGGACTCTCCAGAAATGAGTACAAGTACAAACAAAAGGCCTTTGTGCATGCAAGAAAGTGCTGTACCACTGTGACGCAGCCCCCAAAATCAGAAGTTCGAGCATTCTTAAGTTGTGTTTTATTATTTTTCTTGGAGGGTTTCAAACACCACTTATGTCAATGAGTCCCAGATTTGTCGCTTGTGTTGCTATATTATTTATGATTTATTAAGCTTACCTGAGGATTCAGAAAGCAAAGTCAGTCAGAAACCATAGAAGCCAGGCAGCACCTTTAATCCCAGCAGCCAGAAGATAGGAGGTGGTGGTACACACCTTTAATCACAGGGCTCAGGATTAAGAGGTAGAAGGATATCTCTGAGTTCAAGGCCACCCAAGGATACACAAGATTGAATCAGTCTAAAAGAGCAAGAGATGACACGCCTTTAATCCCAGCACTAGAGGGGTATAAAGGATAGAAGCAGGGTCTTCAGTAGGGGCATTCACGCTCTAGTCACGTTGAGGACTGAGAATAGGAATTGGGGCATTGGCCCTGTTAGATGTAAGAGCTCTCTAGTAGCTCGGCTACTTTGCTTTTCTGTTCTTTAACCTGAAGTTTGAACCCCACAGTCAGCCTCCCGGTCTTTTATTTTTGTGTTATAGTCACTGAAGCTCGCTTCTTTCCTCGGCGTCACCGATATGATGGAAGATCATGTATGTGACTACAGGGATGTTCTGTAGTCACCTTAAACTTTTTAATACCCTACATGGGTTTTAAGCTAAAATTTCCCCTTCCCCTCTGGCTCCATGCATATCCCTCTTCCTTATCTTCTTTCTGTGTTAATACCGTCAGTTAACAGCACTAATTAAGCATTTAATACTTAAATCTTGTAAATGAAATAATTTTTCCTTATCATAACACTCATATGAGTGATGTGTCACTTCATTCCATATTATATCCTAGTTTGGGTGCAAATGCATTACTACATTTTCAACTGAAGCCAATATTGTCTTCTACCTCTGTTATTGCAACCAGCTCTTACCTGTGTCCACATTATTCCTTCCTAGTTTATTCTCACTCTGAAAAATGTTTATCTTTAAAAAATAAGACCTTGATTATATTCCTTTTCTGTTCAGAGCTCTTTAACAGTCTTGTATTCCACTGACAAGCCTTGTAGACTTTTTGCTTGCTTTTCCAACTTCAGCTTTTACTGAGTCCCTCTTGCTCTGTGCCAAGATCTTATTTCAGTTCATTTGAAACAAACCTCTCAGTTTAGATGTGCAGCCTTGTGGTTTTACTTTCCTGGAAACCAGGGCTTCCCTTATACTCTCTTACCATGAGCTATGCCCCCAGCCCTCTCAAATGTAATTTTTGTGCAAATTACTTCCACTTATTTTTCATGTATCAGTTAGATAGAATATACTTTCTCCTTTCTCCACCTCCAAATTTGGTTAGTTGATCCTCAACTATAATCTTGTATTAGCATAAGCCTTTCTCATCAAGGCAGCCATTCGGCTTCATGTTAAGTGGCCATTTTCTTTCTCCCCTTTTCATGGCAGAAATAGCTTCTGACTGATTATCATTCACTTCCTAACAACACCATCACTAGCTCAAGCATGTGCTTAATAAACATTCACTGAGAAAGTCAGGGAATAGATAAATAAAATACTTTGAACCATGCCTTTGGAAGCCCTGGATGTGCCAAAGAGTGAATGTCAGTCTACAGCTTTCTGGTGTAATAATCTGGACAGGCCATGCTCTATTCTCTAGTGAGCATTTACTTCCTACTGCACATCTCCTATGGAGTGTTCCTATGGAAATGGTACCATTACCCAGCCCAAAATATCCAACTTCCCCCAAACAACTATTTACATATACCAGACACAACTTCAAGTGCATAAGAACACCCTTTCTTCCTTCTCTAAGAGCATGTAATAATGACTAGGAGAGACCTCCATGCTTTCATTTTCAATTTTTCTAAGTGTCTCTTTCTCATCTTTGTAAAAATCAATGGCTTGTGGGCCCTTTGAACTATCTTTAGTTTTACAGGTTCCTTCAAGAAGAGACCATGAATGGTTAGAAACAAGGGTTCTACTGTAAACTATTTCACCAGCACAGATCTATCAGATAGTAATTTATCACAAGAGCTACAACTCAGAAATGGAAATGGGAATAGAGAAGAAAATGTAATTCAGTTTCATTAATAAATGCATTCAACAAATTAAAAGTTTTGTCTCAAACTTACTCGGCCTTGTCTGAAACCTGACAACCTGCATAGTCACATGGTGGCGCTGCAGGATAAGATGGGAAACTGTTTCCTAACAGGAGCTCAGTTCTCCCCTAACCAGAGGAAGTGAACGCTCCCGATCAAACAGCACACAGGCTGTGTGAAAAGGCAGGGCACCGACAAGACCCTCCAGAAAGGAGTGCACATCTATAAATCCCTAAAGGTCCAGACGAGCAGAGCTGCTCTCTGAGCTGCCGGAGACTGAGTTGAAACAGAAGAGCAGAAAGCCTCTTGTCTAACGAATGATGGAGCCAGGAGTGATGTCTGCTCAGCATGTAAGGCAAGTGCTGCTCTTTTTTGCTTTCCTGGGAGGGTCCTCAGTTCTTTCCGAGACCTGGAGCTATTCTGTGGCAGAAGAAACGGAGACTGGCTCCTCTATAGCCAATATAATTAAAGATATGGGTGTGGGTGACCTGGCTGCGCGGGGTGCCAGAATTATATTTGATGACTATCAGCCTTATTTGCGGTTAGAACCTGAGACTGGCAACTTGCTCTTGAACAAAAAACTGGACAGGGAAGAACTTTGTGGCACCAGCGAACCCTGTATATTGCATTTCCAGGTGTTACTGGAAAATCCTCTGCAATTTTTTCAGGCTGAACTTTTGGTTGAAGACATAAATGACCATCCTCCCACATTCCTAGAGAAACTCCTATTTCTAAATATCTCAGAAGGTGCTGCTCCTGGGACCTCATTCCAAATGGATAATGCTCAGGACTTAGATGTAGGAATTAATGGGATCAAAAACTATACAATAAGCCCCAACCCCTATTTCTACCTTAAGTTAAAAGATGGTGGTAAAGGAAGGAAATACCCAGAGTTGGTACTTAATGGACCTCTGGACAGAGAAAAGGAGCCTTCAATTAGCTTGATACTAACAGCCATGGACGGTGGGCCCCTGCCCAGGTCAGCAACTGCACTGATTCAAGTTGAGTTTGTAGATGTCAATGACAATGCCCCTGAGTTTGAAAGAGCGCTGTATGAGGTTCAAGTACCAGAGAACAGCCCTTTGAACTCACTGGTAATCAAGGTGTCTGCTACAGACTTGGACACAGGGGTGAATGGAGACATATCTTATTCATTTTCTCAAGTCTCTGGAGATGTACGGAAAACATTCAAAATCCATCCAATTTCTGGTGAAGTCCATTTGAAAGCACTCCTAGATTTTGAGGTAATTCAGTCTTATACAATAAATATTCAAGCCATTGATGGTGGGAGTCTCTCTGGAAAATCAGCCATTATTGTTCAAGTTACAGACGTGAATGACAACCCACCAGAAATAGTCTTTACGTCTCTTATGAGTCCCATTCCAGAAAACTGCTTGTCAGAAATGGTGGTCGCTGTTTTCAGTGTGCGAGACCAAGACTCAGGAGACAACAGCAGAATAATGTGCTCAGTTCAAGACAACCTTCCTTTTCTCTTGAAACCTACTTTCAAAAATTTCTATACTCTAGTAACAGAGATTCCACTGGACAGAGAGAGCAGAGCTGAGTACAACATCACCATCTCAGTTAACGACCTGGGCACACCCAGGCTCACAACCCAGCACACCATAACAGTGCAGGTGTCTGACGTCAACGACAACGCCCCCGCCTTCACACAAACCTCCTACACCCTGTTTGTCCAGGAGAACAACAGCCCCGCCCTGCACATAGGCACTATCAGCGCCACAGACTCAGACTCGGGCTCCAATGCCCGCATCACCTACTCGCTGCTGCCCAGCCACGACCCGCAGCTGGCCCTGGACTCGCTCATCTCCATCAATGCCGACAACGGGCAGCTGTTCGCGCTCAGGGCTCTGGACTATGAGGCCCTGCAGACCTTCGAGTTCCTCGTGGGCGCCACAGACCAAGGCTCGCCTGCGCTCAGCAGCCAGGCACTGGTGCGCGTGCTTGTGCTGGACGCCAACGACAATGCGCCCTTCGTGCTCTACCCGCTGCAGAATGCATCTGTGCCCTGCACAGAGCTGTTGCCTAGGACGGCGGAGCCAGGATACCTGGTCACCAAGGTAGTGGCAGTGGATCGCGACTCTGGTCAGAATGCCTGGCTGTCGTTCCAGCTGCTCAAGGCCACTGAGCCAGGGCTGTTCAGCGTGTGGGCTCACAATGGCGAGGTGCGCACCTCCAGGCTGCTGAGTGAGCGCGATGCTCCCAAGCACAGGCTGCTGCTGCTGGTCAAGGACAATGGCGACCCTCCCAGGTCTGCCAGTGTCACTCTGCATGTGCTGCTGGTAGATGGCTTCTCTCAGCCCTACCTGCCTCTGCCCGAGGTGACGCACGAAGGCGCACAGGAGGATGACTTGCTCACACTGTATCTGGTCATCGCCTTGGCGTCTGTGTCTTCGCTCTTCCTCTTGTCTGTGCTGCTGTTTGTGGGGGTGAGGCTGTGCAGGAGGGCCAGGGCGACCTCTCTGGGTGGCTGCTCTGTGCCTGAGGCACACTTTCCTGGTTACCTGATGGACTTCAATGGCAGGGAAACCTTGTCCCAGAGCTACCAGTATGAGGTGTGCCTGACTGGAGTATCAGATGCCAAAGATTTTCGGTTCCTAAAGTCTGTGTCTCCCAGCCATGAGGTTGTGACTTGCGTGGAGGAGAATTCCACCTCTATGAATGGTTTTGGATACAATTAACAGTTTGTTGATTTTTTTCAGATGGTTCCGGATAAATGTTTGTTCTTTCTCAACGTTCTTGTTTTCCATTGTTTTACCTTCATGAGGAATTTCTAAGGTTTTGCCTGTATTTCCTAATTCAGGAGATGATAAATTCCATGTGTACCCTTACAGGTTAGTCTCTTTAAAAATCACTTTTTGATGAAGACAGAGAACTGTGCTCATTCATGACAAGTGAGTAGTTTCTTCAACTTACTACATTGTCAAATGAGTCATCATTGGTTTGTAAATACCTTCATTTTATTGGTTGTCCAGAAACATTTTCAAAATGTTTGAAACGTGAAACAGATGTCATGATTTATCAAGGTATCTTCTGTCCAATATTGTGATTTCCTATCTCAAATAGAGTATCTGAAAAAAATGCATGGTTTGTTGTAAAGCAGTATTAATTGGGAAAGACAATTTCTCTGAAGTTCTAAGACTTTTATTGTCTTCATATGAACATCAAGCCTGTAATACATATGAATATTGTTAAAATGTTTTTTATATTATCTCAAAACACATAAAAATAACCAGATCCCTCCTGTGATATCTGGCTAGCCAGATATCTGAAAATGTCTCTCTTCAGCAGAGGTACAGGATCAAAGCTTTGTACAACTCAGGTCCCTCTATGATTTTAGACAATTGGATGGAGTGATGGACACTGCTAATCTAACCTGAGCCAATCTGAACCTGTTTACTTTTAAAGTCACCATAGAAACCAAATGTATTCTAGTCTTAGGTATGTTAGAAGAAAGTGATGTCATCTCAAACCTCTGAGAGGGGACAGGAAAGATAACAGATGAGTGGTCTTGTGGAGGACATTCCTTCAGTAATCCCTGAGTCAACGTCCACTACTGGGTGGGACTGGGGCCAGAGAACCAAGATGTGTTCTTGTAATAGATTCTTCTAGTGCAGCTCAGTAAAGGTCGGTTTGCTTGTTTTTATTAAAAGCATGCTTAGATATCCTTGCCTAGAATGATGAATTATTCCTGTTAACTTAATACCTTCATCAAACCATGCATGCTACTATAACATAAATCAAAATGTTTGTAAATGACTGCATTAGCCTGGGAAGGAACTGTGAAGCCTTTGTGTATGTGGGTAGTTTTGAAGACAGGAGTAATGGAAATCTCAGGAAGCCGAGGCAAGATCTTAAGTTCAGGACTAGGCCTCAAGACCCTCTCTAGTTAGGACAAGCTTGTGTTTTTGCTTTAATGGAAAGTTGATTTAGACACTGCATGTTATTTCAAGTGATTACTGAAGTAGTATAGAGAACTGCTACCTAGGAAAATGCTGTCTTGCTTATCCAGCTTATTATAAAAATGAGTTAAGATCCCAACAAAACAAGCATCTACAATAGGAGGAAAATGCACACAATTTTGTGTTTTATTCTATGATGGATTAAGCAAATATTTACTGAGCATCCTCTGTGTCCCAAGGATTATTTGAGATATTGGGTTTCAGCAGTGAAGCAAACAATGCTGTAGTACTTACAGGTTACACAAGGAAAGCAAATGTATTCATCTATGGTACATGTGATGAAAACACCAGAGAGGAAAAATAAAGAGGTGCTTCCATATGAGTTTTCCCGCAGGTGAAAACTTTCATGAAATTGTAAGTTCCTGATCATGTCTATGTACAAAGTGTATCATAAACTGGAACTAACATGTAGAATTTTTTCCTTTATGAAACTCAACCAATGGGAACCACAACTGTGTTACCCGGCAGACATAAAATTACAAAGAAGCCCCAGAAGTACTGACTCCACTTTATGGGGCATTTTAATTTGCATGGCTATGTGTCACTAATTGTACAAGATGACTGATCAATCCGTACTATGTCTTCTTTCATTTCTCGGTTTCCCCTAGAGCGACCCAACACCGACTGCAGGGTTTCTAGTAGGCAGCTTGTCTAGGTTGTTTCCTCGTGTGTTTTTCAGAATCTGACACATCAACAACAAGAAATCTCTTTTTTTAATGTGGGACTACATAATCAAAATAGGACTACATAATCAAAATAATGTTGTTTTGTGATTGAATTTATTTCCAAACCCTGACAACCAGACTGTAAAAAGAATGGAGCCATGTAGCGATCTGTTGAGAAGCAAAATCAACGCATGGTGGCGCTGCAGGCTAAGACTTAGAAAAGGGCAAACGCGGAAAAGAAAAAAAATGCTTCCTTAGACCTCTGGCTGGAAAAAACCTGAGACAGAACTCAAACCATTAAATCTCCAGCGACTGCTGCTAACCCACACTTCGAAACAGGCTATAAACTGACAGATCAGCCGCTGTCTGGGTGTCCTTGCATCCTGGGTGCGGAAGCAAAGATGATGACTGGAAGGGAGCCCAGACCAAGGCAAGTTCTTTTGATCTTTATTTTACTGGGAGTGGCTGGGGCCGGCTGGGAGCCCCTCCGTTATTATGTGTTGGAGGAAACACCGGGCGGCACGTTTTTGGCTGATCTAGTCAAGGACCTAGGGCTGGGACTTGCAGAGCTAGCTGCTCGAGGAGCCCAGGTGGTCTCTGAGGATAATGAATCATGCTTGCAGCTTGACCCTCAGACTGGAAAGCTAATATTAAATGAAAAACTGGACCGGGAGGAGCTGTGTGGCCCCACTGAGCCCTGTGTCACTCATTTCCAAGTGTTACTGAAAAAGCCACTGGAAATATTTCGAGCTGAGCTACGAGTGGGAGACATAAATGATCACTCTCCCGAGTTTCCTGAAAGAGAAATGGCCGTGAAAATCATAGAGAACAGCCCCGTTGGCTCTGTGTTTCTACTTAAAAGCGCTCAGGACTTGGATGCGGGCAACAACAGCATTCAGAACTATAGCCTTAGTTCCAATTCTCATTTCCACGTTTCCTTCCGCAACCGAGGTGATGGGAAGAAATACCCAGAGCTCGTGCTGCAAAAACAGCTTGATCGCGAGGAGCAGGCAGAGTTCAGATTGACTCTGACAGCGCTGGATGGCGGTGCTCCGCCCAGGACTGGCACCTCCCAAATACGGATTATTGTCGTGGATGTCAATGACAATGCCCCTGAGTTTGTGCAGGCGCTCTATCAGGTGCAAATTCTAGAGAACAGCCCTGTGGGTTCCCTGGTTGCTAAGGTCTGGGCCAAGGATTTAGACACTGGGACAAACGGAGAAGTATCATACTCTCTTTTACGTAGTTCTCAGGAGATGAGCAAAACTTTTGAGCTAAATGCCATGTCAGGAGAGGTTCGACTGATTAAGACACTCGACTATGAGACAGCATCTTCATATGAAGTAGACATAGAGGCATCCGATGGAGGAGGGCTTTCTGGAAAATGCTCCGTTTCTATTCAGGTGGTGGATGTCAATGATAATTACCCAGAACTAACTATTTCATCGCTCACCAATCCCATCCCAGAAAATTCACCGGAAACAGAAGTGGCTCTGTTTCGGGTTCGAGACCGAGATTCTGGGGAAAATGGAAGGACAGTTTGTTCCATCCAGGATGGTGTTCCCTTCACACTAGAACCTGTTGAGAACTTCTATAGACTGATGACAGAAGGAGCACTGGACAGAGAGAGCAGAGCTGAGTACAACATCACCATCACAGTCACCGACCTGGGCATACCCAGGCTCACAACCCAGCACACCATAACAGTGCAGGTGTCTGATGTCAACGACAACGCCCCCGCCTTCACACAAACCTCCTACACCCTGTTTATCCAGGAAAACAACAGCCCCGCCCTGCACATAGGCACCATCAGCGCCACAGACTCAGACTCAGGCTCCAATGCCCGCATCACATACTCTCTGCTGCCCAGCCACGACCCGCAGCTGGCCCTGGACTCGCTCATCTCCATCAACGCGGACAATGGGCAGCTGTTCGCGCTCAGGGCCCTGGACTATGAGGCCCTGCAGACCTTCGAGTTCCTCGTGGGCGCCACAGACCAAGGCTCGCCTGAACTCAGCAGTCAGGCTCTGGTGCGCGTGCTCGTGCTGGACGCCAACGACAATGCGCCCTTCGTGCTCTACCCGCTGCAGAATGCATCTGCGCCCTGCACAGAGCTGCTGCCCAGGGCGGCGGAGCCAGGATACCTGGTCACCAAGGTAGTGGCTGTGGACCGCGACTCTGGTCAGAATGCCTGGCTGTCGTTCCAGCTGCTCAAGGCCACTGAGCCAGGGCTGTTCAGCGTGTGGGCTCACAATGGCGAGGTGCGCACCTCCAGGCTGCTGAGTGAGCGCGATGCTCCCAAGCACAGGCTGCTGCTGCTGGTCAAGGACAATGGCGACCCTCCCAGGTCTGCCAGTGTCACTCTGCATGTGCTGCTGGTGGATGGCTTCTCTCAGCCCTACCTGCCTCTGCCCGAGGTGACGCACGAAGGCGCACAGGAGGATGACTTGCTCACACTGTATCTGGTCATCGCCTTGGCGTCTGTGTCTTCGCTCTTCCTCTTGTCTGTGCTGCTGTTTGTGGGGGTGAGGCTGTGCAGGAGGGCCAGGGCAGCCTCTCTGAGTGGCTGCTCTGTGCCTGAGGGACACTTTCCTGGTCACCTGGTGGATGTAAGTGGTACAGGGACCCTTTCTAAGAGCTACCAGTATGAGGTGTGTCTGTCAGGAGACTCTCAAAGTAATGAGTTCAGATTCTTGAAGCCCATGTTTTCCAATATTCTAGAACAAAACTGTGGTGGGCAATCAGGAGATAATCTACCCTTCCCAAGTAGTTTAGGCATGTGAAATTTCATATTTCACTTGGTGTGTAATTCTGACTCTAGATTTTGTGGGTTTTTTTTTCAAAAATTGGTAGTAGTGTTTATTTGTATTTGTTTTTCCTTTTCTCTACTGGTTTAAGTAGTATTGTTTGTTCAGTATTTTGTTAACTGTGTAAGTATTCTTCCAGTTCTGTTGTTATTGAACTGTTACATTCGGAAACTCCATGTTCAAAGGAATATGAATTTCTTCTAATGTGCATAATTCTAATTTTAAAAGTATATTTCCTGGTCTAGGGGAACAGATAGCATTTATAGAGTGCTGTATTGTTTGTTGGAGACCCTAGGTTGGATCATCCTGTAATTCCAGCACTTGGAGATGCAGGTAGGCTATCAGGAATTCAAGGTCATCTACTACTATAGAGAATTCAAGCTTATCTCAACAAAAAGATACATTCCTGAGAGTGTGATGTCACCGAAGAATGTACAATTTCTTTTAAATCACACTTCATTTTAAAATTGGAATCCCCTAGTTTTTTTCATTTTTGTTTTTGTTTTTTTGCACAGCTGAGACTTCAGTAGCAGTTCATATTGGAATAAGTTCATATTCATCAATGCCAAGTTCCAGATTATGTTTTCTATTTTCCAACAGGAAGTAACAAGGTAGTTTCAATCTTTTCAAAGATTTTACTGTAAATATTGTCCTATGAATAATATATCCATATGGTGTATTCTTCCTTGTCTAAAGTAACATAGACTTGTTCGTTGTCTTTAGTTGGTGGGAGTGCTTGGCATGTTGCTCTGAGACTATCTGTGTCCAGGAAGTTTCTGTAAAGCCATTAGACTCCAAGACTCTGGTTAGCTTCTGGTGGTATGGCATGCCAGCATCTACTTGCTTTGGTTGACAGCATTGCTCTGATTGATAAGGACTTTGGAAAAAAGTGCATTACAAAATTAACATTAGTTATCCAAACAAATTTTAGTAATGGTTACATTAATGTAATATTGAATGATTTGGAGAAATGGTTCAGAAAAAGCTGATAAGTTCAAAGTTGTTCAGTCCTGTTCCCTAGTACCTATGAATAATACTTTACATTGGAAAGATAAACTACAAATCAAACTTGTCAACAAACTAAACATAAAATAGAGAGTATATCCTAAATCATTTGAGTGGATCTGATAGGGCCAGTGAAAGACTTTAAAAGGAAAGGTTTACCTTGGGGTGAAGAACGTCCAGGTATTATGGCACATGTTTAATCATGGCATTTGGGAGGCAGAGTTAGGCAAAGTCCAAGGACAGCCTTGTCTAGTGAGTTCCAGGACAGCCAGTGCTACATAGGGAAAGCCTGTCTTGAAAACACACACACTAAATGAGAGAGGGGGGAAGGGGGGAGGCAGGGAGGAAGGGAGGAGGGAGGTAAGGAAGGAGGGAGGGAGGGAAGGAAAGAGGGAGGGAGGGAGGGAGGGAGGGAGGGGAGAAGGGAGGGAGGGAGAAGAAATTTCCTAAGGACTGTAGATGCAGCTTGTGGTTCGGTGTTTCAACCTGCCCTATTCAGCCTTCCATACAGATTTTGAGCTTCCTAGCATTAGAATAAGTCACTTCCTTGTGATGTGTCTTCTGAAAGCTGTTTCTCTGGTTGAAATCCGAGTGATATAAGTTTTGGTAACTGTAATAGTTGCAACTGATGAGAAGACTTAAAAATTATGGAAGTGGGACCAGCAGTGGAGGCAGTGCACACCTTTGATCCCAACACTGGGGAGGCAGAAGCAGACGGAGCTCTGAGGTCAAGGCCAGCCTGGTCTACAGAGTGAGTTCTAAGACAGCCATGGCTATATAGAGAGACCCTGTCTCAAAGAGAAACCATGTGTGTGTGTGTGTGTGTGTGTGTGTGTGTGTGTGTGTTTAGATGATTAATGAAAATGCAGACACAGAATAGAAAAATGTGCAGATAATTTCTAAGTACAGACTTGGAAGTAAGGATTGTGGTGCTTATAGAACGTGTTGGCATTTAAAGCAAATTATGGGGGGAAAATATGGACATTAAAGTTACTAATAGAAAGAACCCACGCAAGGAGAACGCTATTGAAAATTTCAGGAAAATTAATACTTTCATTGTTAGATAGTGACAGAACCCTTAGCTGGATTGTGACCTATGTTACATGAGGAAAAGAATTCATGCATTTGGATGTTTGGCTGAGGGGATTTCCAGGAAAAGTATCGAAAGTACAGACTGATTTCTTCTCACTGTTTATGGTAAAATATGAGATGAATGGGTGGAGATTTCCATCCTGATTGCATTGTACATATGTTAAAATCAGGAGCATGTGTTGGAGAAAAAAATCACAGGTTCAACAGGGAAGACCTTCACCAGTGTGTGGTAAATTCCAGAGTAGTTAAGAATGCAGAAGCCGCTTCGAAGGACCAAACAGGTTGTCTGTTACATGTTTTAATGGCTTTTCCCTCATGTACATGGATGGGTGTGATGTGACACTGATTGCAGTGATTGCATTTGCCATACTCTGTGACTGACAGAACCTGGTCTCATCTTTCTAACCTGGTAATGGGATAGAAAATAGAAAATATGAATTTCTCCAGATTTAGTTATTAACAGCTAATCAGCAGGCATATTTTCTGTCCTTTGGAAACACAACAAATTTCAAAATCATGTTGATTTGAATACAAAACGAGAGGAGGAAGTTTATTACTGGCACATTTAGATTTGGGCTTTCTCTTGATCTTTCTAAATATCACTCTTGGGTTAATCCTAACAGTCTTCTCTAACAACTTTCATGTCTTTTTAAGTAGGCCCAGAACATCTACTCAAACTTGTTAGGTCATTCATTCAAGTCTCCATTGTCTCACAAATTGTTTAGCAATTGTTTCTTCCTCTTCTGTATAATGAAGGTTTATATGAGTTATTTGTGATGGTTTGAAAGAAAATTGTCTCACACAGGCTCAGATATTTGAACACTTGGGGCCCAGTTGGTGGAGTGCTTTGGGGTACAGTGCTGGAGAAAGTACCTCACAGAGTTGGGCTTCCAGAGTTCATAGCATTGCCTGACATCCAGTTGCCTCCATCTGCTTGATTTTTGTGTTTGAAGATGTGATTTGTCAGCTTTTTGCTCTAGTTCTTGGTTCCATACCTCCCCAACCATTATGGTCTCTGCCCCTGGAAACATAAGCAAAAATATACACTTACTTTCCTTAGTCTCATTTGGTTGTGATATTTTAATCACGGGAAGAAAAGAATGACAAAGTTTTATTATTTTTCTTTATTTTATGAATTTGATATAATTTAGCATTAAAATAATTCATGGGTAAATTTTTTCTTTGGGAAGACTGCATTACAATCTCAACAGTTTATCTCAAAATTTATGCAAGTTATGGAATCTTGGAAAGACATTATTTATAATATGATGGAGAATGTCCTTCTATATATGTTTCTCTTATTGGTTGACGAATAAAACACTGATTGGCCAGGAGTCAGGTAGGAAGTATAGGTGGGGCTACCAGACCAGGAGAAGGCTGGGAAGAGGAAGGCCGAGAGGAGCCACCAAGAGATGCCATGTAGTCGCTGAAGGAATAACATGCTGGAGTCTTCTCCAGTAAGATAGACCAGGTGGAAATACTTAGATTAATAGAAATGGGTTAATAACTAAGACAGAGTAAGCCAGATAGAAGCCCTAGCCATCAGTCAACAGTTTATAAAATAATATAATTTTCTGCGTGTTTACTTGGGGCTAATTGACTGCAGGACTAGGTGGAACAGAAACTCCAGCTACAATAATATTTATCTTTTCATGTATTTAGGCTATATAATTATGCTCTTCTTTTTATTCTAGACACTAGAAAAATGCGCTTTGTCTCATCATGAGCATTAATATGAGAATATCACCTTCATTAAATTTTTTTTGGTTTTTATGAGACAGGGTTTCTCTGTATTGTTTTGGAGGCTATCGGCCCAGCCCGGCCTCAAACTCACAGAGATCCGCCTGCCCCTGTCTCCCAAGTGCTGGGATTAAAGGCATGTGCCACCACCACCCGGCACCTTCATTAATTTTTAAAAATGAGTCAGCATTCCCTTTGATACATTGCTTATTTCCACTACCTATTTCATCTAATTCTACTACTATGTCATAATTACTCATATCTCCTTTGTGTTTAGCATTCTCTTTTGTTGTCTTTCTTATTTACTCTATGCCTTTTCTAATTTAAATCAAAGGAAATAAAATATTAATAAGTTGTACATTTTTCTCTGTGTGGTACTTTTGTTTTTAAGTACATTCAATATGAATTTATCATTGCCATCTTCTTTGACAGGTAGGCCAATTATAAGTGTATTGCTTGATTTGAAAATATATTCTGTGTAACTGCAGCCCTTGAAAACTGATTAAATTATTTCATTCAGAGTATGCACTGTATTGGTAAAAACCCTATATCCATTTGAAAGAAATGTATACTCTGTAGTTGGTAGAATGAAGATTGATAAATATTAGCTGAAAGTTGTTCAATAATGTGTAAATATTATATATGTGTTATTCCTATATGTTTAATAATTTACTAGGAGACTGTTCTTATTTCTTCAAGTTTGATAGTATATTATTTGCCTGTCTCTCTGTTCAAGTCTAGTATTTTTTAAACCTTACCACTTTGAATCTGTTATTTGATTCACACAGATGAGAGTTTTTGTTATTTAGTTTTAGTGTGGTAAGTTTACATTTGTCAGTGTGAAATGTACCTCTTTTTGTTTCTAGTTAATTTTTGTCTGATGTAGGCATTCCATAGTTATACTTTTTGAGTTACAATCATTCAAAAGTGGGAAGATAATTAGCTAAGTTGTTATGCTTGCTGAACCATGGTCCCAACTTGCCCTAGCACTGACTGAGAGGAGGAGGCCAGAGGGAGGCTGAAGGATCAAGAGATAAGCAGGACAAGAGGTTTGGGTACGGACTGTGTTGAGGAAAGGCTAATATAGGCAGGACAGGAAAATGGAGTTGTGGAGGGAAGCAAGAAGGAAGCAAAGATGTGGAAAGGGGCAAGCAGAGGCTGCTGGGGAGCTCAGATGGAGCAGGTCAGGAGTTGGGGCAATGGCAATGAGAGTAGAGAAGCTAACTCATCTGCTCCAACACTAACTCCAGACTCCAAGAGCCCCACCACTAGCCCATTAGCAGAAGCTCAACCTAAAGCCACACTGTTCTACTTTGCTCCACTGATGCTGTGTTAAAACACTGATCAATAGTAACTTGGGAAGGAAACAATTAACTCTATCTCCTGGGTGACAACCCAGCATTGAGGGAATCAGAGCAGGAACTGGGCTGCAGAAATTGAAGCAGAGGCCATAGGGGAACACCACTTAACTGTCAGCTTTTCTTTAGATCGCTCAGCTACTTTTCTTGCACAGCCCGGGCCCTCCAGCCTAGGGATGGCAACACCACCTGTATCACCTATCAACAAAGAAAATGTCTCACAGATCGTGCACAGGTCAGTGCAATGGGGACTTCCCTCATAGGCTCTGAGGGACTCTTGTGTCGAGATGACAGTCTCCTGAAGCCTGCTATGATCTCCTCTTTGTAGTGCAATCTCTCTGCTGTCCTCCTCTGCCTCCCCATCATCTTTGTCACTGTCAAACTCCCATCTACACACTCTGAGTTTGTTTACCTTCCTCCTGAGGTGTGGTCTCCTCCTCCAATCCCTTTCTCTCTTGACAGTTTGCCTTCTCCTCCATTTTCTTCTTCTCATTTAGGTCCTTGGCATTCAACATACCCATTGTTCAATGTTCTCCTCTAACTTTGTTCTGAGGCTAGAGATGGACTATGGCTCCTGGGGAAATGGGTTCCTGGGACTGAGAAGGAGAAGAGATCCTAGACAGTGGAAAGTTGCCATGGCCAGAAACTGTCATGATAGTTTCTAGGTAAGGTGGTTCTCTTGAAAATTTTGGCAGGAGTGTAAGGGGTAAGACAGGAGTTAGTCCAGATC